GTAGTGCGATTAAATGGGAAGGATTATATTTTTTGGTAAGGGAAAACTGAAGGAGCAATACAAATATGTAAGGTATGATATGTTTATTGGACTCTATGTTGGCTAATGTACGACATACAGGATAGTATTCTTTGATGGTTAAATAAAGAGTAAAGTAAGTAAAATTAATTTAGGTGATGGCCTCTTATTACAACAATATATAAAGAATACAGTGAGATTGAAAGTTATATTGCATTCCTGATCTAAATAAATATTATTAATATCATTGTTCAAAGAATCTAAGCATCGTTATTGTGTTAAATTTCAGAATGATGGGACTGATGTATATAATGAAAAGAGAGAGTTTCGAATGAAAGCAATAAGAAGAGGAACCGTATATTATGTCAAATCAATAAACAGGAAAGAGGCAGCTTATGTATCAACAAAGAAGGATGTGTGGCATTTACATCCAAATATGAGGATCTTTGAAAAAATGGAAAATGAACACTTGGTAATAGTTATGAAAGGTAAGTTGTATATAGAGCCCAAATATTGCTAAGTGATAAATATAGAAAATTGAATCTAAGCTCTTACATAGAGAAATGTTGTTGACCATCACTAATGTGTTATATTTCATAATAATGATCGCACAAAAAGTTGGAATTATAGCAACATTCTTATACTGTGGTTAATTTAATATTTAATACTTACATGAGTGATAGGTTTTGTATTTCCTGTATCTTATGATTATTTATATTTTCGTTTTCTTTCTGTAGTAAATAAGATTACTATAGAGAAGTGTTTTTCTTGCATAATATTCTTATTATTTTCTAATAAATATATATTAACATAAGAAAGCGTAGAAAATAAATTTTTTTATTTGGAAATATTATTTACAATTGTTTATTTACAATGTTTTCATAGGCGAGAAATGAATACAAAATAAAAAATAGATTGAAGAAATTAGTACCAATTACGGACGGAATCGAACCCCGGATCTCCATCATAGGATTTCTCAAATGTTGCGTTATGCCACGACTGATATTTGAAGTAAGTGCTAGTAAATCTGTATTTACAGAAATCATAAAAATTTAATTTGAAATATCTCAAAAATTATCGAGTAGTTGCGGCTATAATGATATATATTCTTGAACTGCATGGCGAAATCTATAAAGCTGTAAATTTCAACTAAATCGGTGACCCGAAGGACTTGCACTTTCCTTGTAAGATATATTACCGTGAGGTTAGCAAGTATATATTAATTTAGCAAATGGAAAGCACGAAAAGTTGCCATAGCTTAAAGGAAATGTATACTGACAATGTATACTAATATTGACGTCCTCCTTAATGATAAATTAAAATTGCAAGAACTAGTAATTAGAATGCAAATTATGCGACATAAATAAGCTTCATTGCACATTCATAATAAGCATTCATGACCAGTTAAATGATTTAGTACAGTTGTATATATTTTTATAGTTACTCTTTCTAAGGTTTTACTTTTTTCTTTTTTTTCGTTCCTTTTTTATTGCAAAAATTCACGAATGGAAGGTAATTAATTGTATAAATTTATTATCGATCCAGTTTAATAATTAATTTGACTCGCATTTTTATCAATAAATAAGAAAACAAAAAAGTCATCCTCTTTTATTTACTTACAGTATTTAAAAAATTATAGCAGACATGATGAAATTTACTAGAAAAACCGTATTTTAGAATATATTTTAAAAAGAACATAAGCAAAATGATATAAAAATATTTTAATTTGAGTACAATAATTTAATTTAAATAAAGATATTTGAATCTGAATTATAACTTTTTAGAGTTGATATTACTGATTAAAAAATATTGAATTATTATGTCTTTAAATTAGTAACAATTATCACCAAAATTTTCAGGAAAGAAGATTAAAGATTTCTATTGTTAAGGAAAATATTTATAAACAAAAAGAATATATTTCCTTTAATATTATAAAAATAAAATTCATCGTTTGTGGCAATGAAATTCGTCTTGTGAGACTAGCCATGGTCTAATGTTGTATTACGTAATTTACCAGAGGCAATTCTATGAATATTAAAATAGAATTATCGATAATAACAGAACTTACATAAGCAATCGATTAAACAATTTCATTTATCAGAGAATTAGTAGAATTTTAATGAAAAACTTTTATTACAGTCACTCAATATTCGTTTGTACTTCAAGCCCTCTGAGAAAGTAATTACGATAGCATACGAACTTCGAATGTGAAGTCAATGTAACAAATATCTGATAAAACGAAATTTATGGTGCATTGAAACTGATGGACAATAGTATAGAAATGGATTATATAACAATATTTACCAACATTTCAGACCATGCAATCATCGAAGGTAATAATTGTATATAAATAATTGAAGGTATGACAATAGAAGAATGACATGCAGGTGAACCGTTCTGCGAACTTTTCTATTGTTTCACTGAAGAAACTATTTCTGGGATTTCAAAACGCATCACTGTTAACCGATTGCCTTAACTTTGGGGTAATTCCGATGCACACAAAGAAAATCCTACTTTTCTATTCTTAGAGACACTAAATGAAGTAATAGGAAATTGTCAGTATTGTACCATTTTTTTCTCCCTCTAATGCTATAAATTCTGTTTTAGATCGAACGTCCATCGCTACTACGTGTTTCAACGAAACGAAGTTTTCCACAGAGAAAAACGTGCCAGGCACAATGAAGCCGGATGTTAACTCCCAGAGAACCGAATCCAATGTAGTTGCTAATCGTAAATGACTTTTTTATTCCATCCGTTCGATTTACAATTTACTTCGAGCAACGATATTATTTTCTGGCTTGATTACGCTAACAATAGGTATGAATTCACATGAATTCCATTCGTGGTAAATATGCGCCAGTATACTTGACTGTGATGTAAGAGAACGGAAATAAAATGCAAGATAGCAAGCGGACACGTAGGAAAGATCTCGGATTCGTAAAGAAGGCAACTGAGCTTATCCTTAACGATCCACGCGACCACCGACCAAATTATGTAACGTTGTAACTGGTAAACAGTAATTAATGTTATCACGGTAAAAGATTTTTAAAAAGGTACTTTCTTTATTGGATGGTTTCAATAATGAGAAATTATAACGGTTTCCCCATATCATTGTGTGATAGTAATTAAGGGTTCTTGGTATCGACAAATATTAATTAAATTGAAATTCAAGTTCTTTAAATTTTATTCATTTATTATTACATGCAGAAGAATTATGAATAAAAACTTTTTGAGGTATAATCAATAGTGGATTTAATAATAAATTATCTACGTAAAACCTTCGTCAAAAATTTGGCTTAAAATCAGATGGCGTGAGCATTGTTCAAATTATTTATGAAGGTTCAAGTTATTTACAAAAACTAAGAAATTTTAATATTTGCAAAAATTGATTTTCCATTTCATTAAAATTTTTTGCATTAAGCAATTTTTTCATCAAATTAATGAAAATTAATTAACGTAATCATAGGTGTTTCGTCTACTTTTATTAACGTTTTGCTAATTAAGAAAATTATATACCTGTTTAAAGAAATGACAATTATTATTAAAATATTTTTTTCAGATACAAACAATATATTCTCCTAGACAATATCTTCGATGAACTGGAGGAGAACATTTTTTATTCTGAAGGAACAGGTTTTTGAAACAAAACAGGCTTCTAACATGTGGGTCAGTATAGTGTAGCACAGAATGTGTGCGAATTTTTATTTAAGATACAGACTAATTTCCTTTCATGTATCTTCTAGATGCATCTTTGTAACTTATGATGTTGAACATATCTTTCGTCTTAATGCAATATCTTTGAATATAAATTTAAAAAAAATGATATAGTATTAAAGTAAAGGAATATAAGAGTATTCAAAAAATTAGACAAAATCCAATTGTTTAATTTTTGATATTCTATTTTCCTCTTTGTTAATATCAAATCTATAATATATTTTAATAAATATAAAGCGATACAAAGTTACATTATGCGTTAATGACACTCGCGAACATGTTTCCGATACAATCTATTTAGTAATCTGATCGTTGTTTAAGAAATTCGAGCGCCATATTTTCAGTATGCTGATTAAGAGACATTATCCTTCGATTCGATTTCTAATTTGTTTTGTTTTTACCTTTTATTACAACAACGATTTCAAAATCGTTATACGTATATGTAATAATCGTGCTCGTTCTTAACAAGCAAAAATTGGATGATTGATATCAATTTCTAACTCAACACATTTATACCGTATATGCAGGCAAAAGAAATAAAATTTATCAGTAACATTAATATTTTCTTGATACACTGTTACTTAATCAATTTTTATTAAAAATGAAATTCATATTGATATTTATGCAGGAAATATAATATATTCTAAGATTTTAATAATTTAAATTTATTATAAAAAATAATTTAAATTTTACGATACTGAAATTTCATTGATGGAGAAGATTCGTTAAATACGATTTGTATACAGATTTTATTGATAAGGTTGTATTGTATAAGCTAAGTTAAACAAAAGCTTTGTCATATCTTATAAAAGTCTGTTCGTATGTTGATAAACTTTAAACTATTAACTAGAAATTATAGTATGACGAAGAAAGGTAAAGTTTAAAAGTTCTACGAAACGAATACCTCAAGAGGCGAGAACAGGTTTCATTACGTTGGAAGTCCATTTACCGCATGTTACGTTAGAGAAACGAACAATCACCGAAGAAATTTCATAAGGAAAGTCTAAAGACAAATCGAGTTATTCACTTTTTCAAAAGTATTCGTGTATTCCCGGGGATTTACACCGGCCGCCTCTTTTTTTTTTTATTTTCATCGCGTTTCAATACACGGTGCTGGTAATACAGTGACCAACGTGTAGCGTGGACTGACTCAGAAGCACGTGACGATGTTTTAGGAGGGTATTAATGCGCAGACGCATCAGCGCACCGCGCAAAGGCGAATTCTTGGCTGTCAAGTTTCAGCTCAGGTGAGCGTTCCTTCAGACACAGTGACGTTTGCAACGTTCGAACGTTTATAAAGGTTTCTGTTCAATTCGCATCGAATCTCTGCGACGAATTCAACGAAAGCATATCAGTGATACTTTCTCGATCGAACGGTAACCTAAATTTTCGTGTAAGGACAAAGGGCTTTTTTGTGTATATAACCTGAACAAATTTTCGAATATTTCGTACGCGACGACAATCGCACGTGGTGAAAATTTTTCTTTGTCTTTTCGTAATTATAGTTTCGATCTTTGTCGTAATATTGTAAAATTGTGTACGGAAACACGTTTACTGCGAAGCCAGTGAACTCTCCGCGAGTGCTCTCGAAAAGAGAGAAAAAAGAAGCAGGAACGTTTCGTGGCGTTCGCAGGGAAAACGACACGCCAGTGGACACGCTACTGGTCATAATGGCTTTAGGAATTACAACTACCGTGGTTCATGGTTGGATGTGATGTGACACTGATACGAGGTATTTATGTATGCAAGATTAGCATTTTATTTGTATATTTGAGAGACGATATTGTGTAGATCATGGAATCGAAAACTACGAGAAAGTAGAATGAACTGAATGAAGATTTTACTAGGATATGGTATGATTTCGAAAAGAAATCGAAGAACGTTATATAGAATGTCAAGAAAGCCATAACGTCCTTAGCCGTTAAAGTCTTAAGATATACATTCCAATCGGAATTATTTTTTATTTTTTAATGAAGCAGAACGTTTCAGGTATTTATCGAATATAATATATGAAAGAAAATTCTATATTGATAATAATATAGTGTGGTAAAAAAGTATTAGGAAAACGAAAATAAAGGAAGCATAATAAAAATGGCAAATAAATTTAAAAATACGCATTATAAATAATATATGGAAATACACATGACAAATTTTACTAAAATTTTGATTATGGAGCGATTAAATAATTTATTCAGATATATTTTCCATTCGGTAGTAACTAGTTTAAATTTTTCATTCGTAATTTTATAAATAATATATTAAAATTTGTCATGCATCTTTATACATCTTACATAAACAAAATAATAAATTAGCTCGAAAAATAATAAAATTATCTAACAAGGACATTAACTATAATCATAGTAATTGGAATAAATTTAAAATAAATAATAGAATTATAAAAAGAAAAATTCCACTAAAATCGATCATAATTTCTAATCATAAACCATAAGACTGAATAAATAGAAAAGATAATTGGTCCATTTACATTAAAAATATATATGAAAAATGAATTATATGAAATTATCAGAAGATAAATATTTTATATATTTTCTTACATCAGCTGCATATTTTAAGAACTTAGAAAGAATTAATTGCTACCGTAACAAATATTCTGTAAAAATTATGTGAATATTACCTCTGTATCGAAGAACCATTTACATTAACTTAAAACATATTCTCTTGTTAGGATCCGTTTAAAATCCTCTGAGAACATCTTACATAAAGCACATAGCACCATATTAATTTAACTACTCGTGCGATATTCATATATTCATATATGAATTTTCATATCAATCATATCACGACTCATGTAAGTAATACAATTTCTCACAATACTATTTTTTATATCTCATGACTTACGTAAATTCACATTATAAACATATTCTTCTGTTTAGGTTAATAACGTACATACAATGCTCAACGACAGTCAAGGGAATTATATCGCTATGAAATATTGGTCGAAGTATATATTGGTAAAGAGAATGAAGCCAAGAAGCTTTTCCAACTCATTGTTACGTTGCACACGCAGTCGAGTGATTTTCATTTCACGCGTGGCCAGGCAAAACGCTAAATGAGATGTATCAATTCGCTGATCGCTTCGTAATATTCACTGGAATCGCCCAGAGAAAGCATCATCCGCTTTTATGTAGGATTATAGGCCTTCTAATAAACTTTCGCACACACTTAGGCGAACAACTGCGAATACGTAAGTGAAACGAACGGTACGAGTGAAAAATATCACGTGCTACCGTAGTCTAGTTACGGAAATTCGCAGACGAATAGCTTCGTGTGGCGATTTGGAATGTATCATAAAATTAAAGAAGAAAAGAGACGAAGAAGTATTACGATACCTTGAAAACAATTGGATCGTCTATTCAAAGAACCATGGGTCCTCTTCTTAAGATATTCGATACATCGAAAGTTACAACGTGCTAACGTATATGCTAGACATTTAGGAATTTAGCGAAATCAGAATTTAGGCCAATAGAAAACAAGATTAAACCGATGATAGAAAGAGAGAAGCATAGTGTCTCGACTGATTTAAAATTTTAATTGAATATTATCGTGCTAGACACGTGACGTTTTCATCATCTCTGATGATCCTTCGTTTTATTCAGTTGTTGAAAAATATGATGCTATAAATTTTCTGTGTAATGTAGGACATTTATCTCTTCTGGTATACTCGTGTGAAAGATCATACAAAAATTAATTACGTATCAGTATTCAGCGAAGCCATTTTTCAATACTTATGATGCTTTTCTAAGAACAGTTACTTTAAAATTAATCACTGATGTCTTGTACAAATTTTGTAAAAGTAATTATAAACGTAGATTTTAATGTATATATATATCTATAATCTATAAATAATGGAAAATTAGCTTGTTTAAGTATCATCCTAAACATAATATCTGTTAGAAAATCTATCTGAATATCACTTTGGAATTATTCCTGTTCATTAAAATTTCAATTTATACTACCTACAATCTACATCTACGTACTTAGTTTACTATTGCAAAATAGATTACAAGACAATAAAAGTAACTTAAAAAAGAAAAGTAGTAAAAAGTTATCGTCATTTGAAGATACACGTTATTCGAATCTGATTAATCCCTTACAAATCTAATATTATCGGATTAGTTTTGGATTAGCTCTGTTTGTTAGAATTTCAATCTTTGTAGAAGTAATTATGGTAATAAAAGTAGTAATAACTGTACTAATAGATGTGAACTTTTAGTATCTATAAATAATGGAAAATTAGCTTGTTTAAGTATCATCCTAAACATAATATCTGTTAGAAAATCTATCTGAATATCACTTTGGAATTATTCCTGTTCATTAAAATTTCAATTTATACTACCTACAATCTACATCTACGTACTTAGTTTACTATTGCAAAATAGATTACAAGACAATAAAAGTAACTTAAAAAAGAAAAGTAGTAAAAAGTTATCGTCATTTGAAGATACACGTTATTCGATAATCCGTGACCAGAGGAGACGTAGAAGCAAAAAGATCAACCGCAAATACGTAACAATGAGGCCTCCACTAGTTTAATTGTCGTCATAAAATTAAAAAATCAACGGACTAACTGTACTCCAAGGAAAAGGACAGAATTTATGCAACGCAAAAGATCACTTTTAAGATATCCACGGGCTCGTAAAATCGGATGCAAATGCTTGGTAACCCTACGAATTATCGGAATTCATTTTTCAAATTCAATTTCAAGAATTACGATCATTTCCAGAAACCCGTTATCGCAAATTGCTCTCCGTTGACTGTGCTCACCGTGATGAGATATTAAAGAAAATAACGAGGTATCCATACCATGACTGACTCATGCTTTTATTTAAAACAATTTCACGCTCTTCTGTAGCTTTTCTTTGTCATAGATTTGAGCGTCGAATCTTCGCTGTTTGATTGTCATAATTAATTAAACACGGTTGACAGAAGGTAACGAGAATTCATGGAACACTTGTAATACCTATGACGCTAGCTTCGCCAAAGTATGCATCAGTATGATAAGGAGCAAGATCTAATCTTGTCCTTTGCCGAATGAAATCGTAACACATAATAATCAACACGTTTATATGCAGGATGCGCGAGGCAGGTTATTAAATCGTGTATGCTCATCGTTAAACTGGTTAGGAAACTGTTTGACCATTTAGAAAGCCAATTCGGGCTTTGAGCAATAACAGATGAATTATTTAATACTTTCACGAAATTATCACCTCCGGTGCGTGGTTTATTACGTGCGTGCAAAAGAAATGTGTGTCGATGACCCACGTCGCGATGTGTCCTCGAGGTCTGTCGGACAATTAAAGTTACGCCAAGCATCCGATTGATAGCGAACAAACGGAAAACAGAGTTTCACATAGGAGTGCCATAAATCCTGTATCTAATGGAGGTAACTTTATATAACAAATACATTAAAGAAGAATGATTTGTTATTTTATATTCGTGAGTACATTAGAATATAAAAATCTTTAGGACCATTCCAGGTAACTATCTTTAACTTGGACATACTTCGAACGCTCTGACCATTTATTTGTCGCTGCTTCTAAAACTTACATATTACATTTTATTTTCCTCAAATTATTTCCAATACATCGATGCCAGAATGAGGTTTATAATAAGTTTCCCTGTCTAAAACATTCATTCAAATCAGTTGGTGGTATGATGAATAAATTCTTCATACAGTTGCAGAAGTTTCAAAAGATTGTAAATTTTCCTTGTGGTTAGTTCCATGTTAACCGCTATACTAATTAAATTCGAATGACGAATGTTTCGTTTCTAAAAACCCACTTAAACAAGATATGTTTGCATTACAAAGAGACAGACACATATCAAAGTTTGAATTTGCTAGACAAAAAGTGTTTTGGTACGAGACCATTTAAAAGAATTACATTATAATTCAGTATAGCCATTCCAATATCCTTCCTCTTGTGCCGATGTTTTCTGAATACCAAAGGGTGTCGTAGCTATCTCAATCTCGAAGAAAAAGGGCTTTTATAATTGATCGATTAGGTTATCCGATTTTTACTTTGCTGTGGATCAGTTAGGCTATATAGAAATATTAATAAACGTTATAAATATTTAGAAATATTAAAAAATACATTCGGAAACGCTATATTACTAAACTACTTAAATACTCTTCAATCCCCGTATTAATACTTAGATACTCACTAAAAATTAGACCTGCATAAAAATATTTTTCTATTCACCGACAAATTTTATTTCCATTATTCCTTACAATAGGATCATTCTGTTATCATTATAAGGTTTATTTCTCAGGAACAGGGTTTATATCGTGACTAAACATAACAAAATTTCCTGAAAATGAATTATGTATGTCTACGATTTCTGATAATAGATCGATTTGATTACTATTATAAACTCTAAATAGTTAAGAATCTATATCATGACATACCATTATATGACAGACCTGAAAAAAGTCCAGCTATTTCTATGATCTCCTACAATAGACACATTTTATTTCTATTGTTTGTTCTCTGGAATAGAATTTACATCGTGACGCACGTAGTCCGTTCGATCTACATATCTTCGTTTTCGATCATTGAAAGGCAAAAATTCGCGCGAACATTTACGATCGACAAAGTTTAAGATTTATCGCGTCTAATTATCGCCTAACGATCATTGATTTATTCAGTCGAATGAGACATATAGTTCGACTAGTAGATCGTGCTGTTATTATGCTTGTGCACGATACTGCTGAATGCGATCGATCGAACGTAACTTGTCGATCGTGAGGAGGCAGTTTAGTAACACTAACGGTATCTAATTACGACGTTGACACAATTCTTGAAGCATCAAATCGTTTCATATGAATGAGCGTCCCCTTATGCTAAACTTCTAACGAAAGAAAAAAAAAATGGTTCTCGTCCGCCTAATCGTTCCATAATCCGTTCATTTATTCCACCCGATGATCGTACAGCAACAATTCCCCGGAGAGAATGTTTGCACGCGAGGCAAGCGGTACAAAGTGCCATTTTCATGTCTTTAGATCGTAAACATTTACACGTGGCAATGTCAGTCGCTCTCTTTCGTAGAAACCTCACCGTATGGATGAAAAAGTAGCCACAGGTTCCTTGCTCGTGTTCTTTTTCTCATTTGACTAGGTTTACTATCCGAGCTGTGAAGATAAGGACTGCGAGAGAGAGAGCGGTAAAAATTAGTCTCGTAAAATTTCAGACAAAAAGGACATTCCTAGGCTGCGCGAATTTTGTTTGTATTTAGCAAAAAGCCAAGTCTGCGTTGGATCAGCATAACATAGTAAATTCGTTTTATTGCGTGTAATAAACTTAGGTAAGGTTGTCAGATTGAAGTTCTTTTACAGATGTACATAATATAATGTGTTTTCTGTGTTAATAAGTTTTAATCGAATGTAATAGAATTCTTTGATTAGAATATAAGTCCCTCGGTCGGTCTTCAGTTTCGAGGAAAATTTGAAATAAATTGCGATGAATCCAGCGTGTCTTTTTATACAGAATGGAGTAATATATATGGTAGAACCGAAAAATGGGTTTTTTATGGAAATTTATTAGGTACACGTGTATTTTACTGGAATACTCATCTTATTGTAGAAACGAAAGTTTCAAAACGATTGCGAATGTTTTGGTTGAAGTAACAATGAAATCTTATTTTATATAGATTACATAATAGAATTGTATGTAAAATCTAATGTATTGCATGTATCTTAACATATTATATTGGCACTGCAATAGCATAGAATTATTTTTCTTGAATGCAAAAAGCAGGTATTCCATATTGTCATACGAGTGTCAGAAAATTTCTTTAAAGTTGATAAATAAGAATGGTCAATGGCCAAGAAATAAGAGTGGTTGACTATATATTTTATTCGCACATGTTCTTTTTTAAACTTTTATTAATTATGGGAAAACAAAGCTTCAGTTAATTACAGCTTTATTATTCCGTCTGAGATCTATCAATTGCTATAAGATACAAGTATAGCAATAAAATCCAATAACATTGCAATAAGCAAATGGAATAAAATTTGTAAATATAAATATTTAAATATACCTGTCATTCTCTATCATGCGATGCTATAGAACAAACTGAACACTCATCAATGAAATATCTGTTTTAAATTTATAGAAGTAACCTCGAGAATCGTATAAAAGCATCAGACCTATTTTAGATCTTCGACTTATTTGGTCACGAGGAATCATCTTCCATTCGATTATATCATTGATAATATATTACCTCGTATAATGATTTGTTAAATATTTTAATTACTAGTATTGGAAAGCTCCTTATTATTCAAAGAACCGTGTTCGAAGAAGCAAACAACCACTGTTAGGTAGTTTGTTGAGAAGTACAGCCACTCGATCGCCACGTGTTCGTTTATTTGTAACCATAATTCTATGCTTAGGTCTAGTCGATGTGACCAGGAATGCTGAATGAGAATTCTAATCACCACAAAGCTTGAAACTCGCGAGTATAAAAAACACAAAAAGTGTCTGACGCAAAGAACCACTTTGCAAAAATCATGTGCACGCAATTACGTTGAGTAAGATCTGAAGCGGATGAACGTATGAAATTACGCTTTTCTAGATTTTCTCAGGTCATTTAGTAACATTCGATGGGAAATTGAAGAGATCCTACGATTATCTGGAAAACCATTAAATTCGTTAACTTAAAATAATTGATCAAAATGAGTTAAATAAATTAAAATTCGTGGAAAAATATTTAGATTCGTATAAAATGTTAGGAATAAATATTGTATTATTTAATTGTATTATATAGATTATCACAGCAAAGTACTGATCTGTGTAAATCGATATTGCTCGTTATAGTTCACGATTGTGATTCCTGATTACGATAATTACGTACTTGAATATGTTATGTTTTGAATACCAAAGATATACTTCTTATAAGTAATTATTCATCGAAGGTGCTTCATCAGCAGACAATCTTTAATCATTATTAAACTAACATGAAATATAGAACAAAACGTATATTCTAAAACCGATAATCATTACGAAACATAGCTGTACTTGCATAATTTAAAATCAAGTTTATTAACCTGCAAATGAATACTGATTTTATTCTTCTGCCAAATCTCTTTAAATTTTCTGACAAAAGATCCTGTTTCTCTCACTACTTCCCAAAATTTGATTATATTTTAATCAAATTTCTTTATTTAAACCATAAACTTCAATCGCATAACAAATATAATTTATTGACAAATTTTATTCCTTACTAAAAATATTTAACCACTCGTCATAAAGACTACAAACACTAAATTACGTTAGTACAAATGTTATAATTACCATAAAATATAGTAATAGTTACCAAGAATTCGTCCATCTAAATGTTATCCAAACATCGTTACTACCAGACAACATATGGTTTCTTGATTATATTATGTTAATTAAGATGAAAGTAATACTATTGTATTACGGTAATCAGTTACACTACGATTTATGAATTATAATTGCATAATGAAGACGTGTTACATACCATTTAGCCACGTGTTATGCCTCGCATAAATCATAAACCCATAACGTTAATTAACAAAAATATCGTTACAGGAAAACTTTCAGTATTGCACGAAAATTCGTTCATAAAATTAGAGGTATCCTTTTCGATTTTCAACTTTAATTCGGCATATTTAACGAGCACACTGGACATCTGAAAAAGGAACTATCCAAAGTTCCGATACATGGATTTCGAGGGCATGACACGGGTACACGACATTTATTTCATTTCGCATCATCTTTTATTAACGAAGGTAAAATCTGCGTTTAAGTGGCCTGTTGCGTAATTCATTCTCCGATGAATGAAGTATCGCTTAAGAAATTTTATAATATCGTATCGGTATCCTTGGCAAATCGTTTTGACATTGATACCGTCGATTTATGCATATGTACGAGCTCTTGTGCATACAACATCGTAAAGATGCTGTGCAACAAGAGATAAAATGGTGGAAAATGCGACGTGCTATAAGGAGGAAACTTTTACCGATAAACAATCGTGTCAGTAATATTTCCGATATCGATACGTTCAGTGTCATTAACATTTTTCCACGTTCGTTTAATTTCTATGAAAAGAATGAGGAATACAGTACACGACAAGATAATGCACTCTATGGTTTCCAACGTTTCTTAAGACTAATGCAATGTATATTAATTTTTTGCATACGTATTTCTTCATATGAGATATCCTTTTATTAATAATATATTGTAGAAGAAGATTAACTATGGTTTATCTCGAATTTAACTACAATAATTGTCTATCATATTAAGTTTAAGAAACAAATAAATAAAAATTATTGGTTTTTACTACATTTATCAAAACATTCTGAAAAACATACTATTCTAGTAATTTGTTTGTAATAATTTGACGATAGCATTGTATCAATCATCTGTTATAAAATCAAATTTTATTGCGATTTTGAAATCTCAAATTCTGATGTGTCCGATGTAAAAATAAAATAAGGGGAAGAAAATATAAATGAAAGTACCAGAGTTGTAAGTTTATAATTATATAATTTCTTCTTTTAAAGAGACACTGTAAATTATAAAACAGTTGTAAAAGTAAAATATATTTCAGAAGATATTCGAATGACCGATATCTCTGCAATTTACTGTCACTGATATAAAAATAAAGAGAAGCATAACGAAAACGAAATATAAATGGAAATCTCGAATTTGTAATTAAAAATAAATCTCTGATCGTGGTTGGTATATTGCGTACCAAGAATGAAGTTGCACATGCGATACACCGCGGAATTATTACTGCGAAAGTCATATTTATATCGGTTTTCGTAAAACATATTACGAAATGTTGGCGAGCCAGCGAAATTTTACGCGAAGCGCAATTTTTACACTCTTACTTGAGAAATCGCAGCTTATCCGCGCGCAGATCTAACATAATTACTTTGGCCATTACACCTAACTTCATATTACAATCTTTGTAATTGTTAGAACTCATGATACCTTGCGTGATTTTGTACACAATTTATTTAACTCTGATTACCGTTTAACCAAATTTTTCCTAACAGATACACTAATTCGGATTTACATTCGAATGAAATATTTCCAAAATTTAAAAAGTATCAAAGATACCAATAATCTAATAACAAATATTTCACGTTATTTAAAAATTAGAAAGATCAAAATATTAATATTCAATACTAGATTGACCAGAAATTCCAAGGATGGGAGGAATATCTTAAATCTGCAAAAAAAAAATGTATTTTCAAGCCACAATTAGGTAAAATTTTGCAAATTCAAGGGAACACGATATATCATCCACTACTCGTTTTATCATCTCTTTAAACTTACTTTTTGATCTCCTTTTTGCCGTCATCGTGTGCAAAGATCTTTTAATGGTATCCCAAAGAAAAATAATAAGAAAAAGCCATCGTATTTCCTTGTTTAACTTCGACAAGAACTTGATCTGAGAGCTGAAAGAAATGCAAACACATTTGACGAACGAAAATAAAACTAACATAACGGGAACAAAGGAAAAAGGTGGTGCAGCGAGAAAATAGAGGTCCTTGAATCCAGCTACGTGTTAAGAAATTCAACTTGGTAAAAGGTGTAATGAATCAAGCAAAAAGCTGGCAAAGGAGTAGCGATGTTAGGAAGCAAATGAAAAGAAATCTAACGGTAAATTGGCTGGAGTTATAAATTAATTAGGTATCTTTGTTTTTCAGGGTCGCAACGCGTATGAATCGAACAATGGAGTTCCTCTGAGCGCAGCTCGTGCAACTCTGCTTCCCTTAGACATCGATATCTCGTCGAGAAATCGTAAAAATTGGCTGACTCTCTTCTGTGTCGAATAATTCCCTGCAAACATGTCCAAATACAATATACAGGAGTTCGACCTCGAAACGGGGAAGCAAGTTCGGTTAACCGGATACAGCAATGCTGCCTTTGAGGATCCGCTTCGAAGCAATAACAATGATTTCGATCAAACCAGCGAGCTCGAAAACAGACTCACCAACATCCATGTTTCAGCTCTAGACAATAAAACTGTGGATAACAGTGGTGAGTTTGAGATCTCTTCTTCTTTTTACTTATGAGGATATATTTAGATATATTATATATTTATTATGTATTATATATTGCAGTAATATATATATTACAGCATTTTAGACAATTAATATTATAGTAAAACAAAATATCTGAATATAAATTTGATATACACAAGTGTATTATGTACACTTGCTGACAAAAATTGAAAAATAATCATTCACGAATTTTTACATATATTCCTTTATTTTCTATAATACATGCATTAAAATAAGAATTAAAATAGTTAAAAATAGGTATAACAAAAATTTTGTGCATCTTGCACCTTAGAGAATAAAGAATACTCAAAGATTCACGTATTTTCTGTATATGACATATACAGAGTATTTTCTTTTCAATTTTTTAATTTCTTTGTAAAAGTGATGCATTTTTTTAAATATTTTTACACAAATATTATGATTGCATGATATAAATTTATGTTCACGCAATTTATGTTTTCCTGTATAAAATTATCAAAATAGAAGAGAATATCAGATAAGTTCTGTAAAGCTGTTCCAGTAGCACAGCTATTAAGGAATGTAATCTAATTTAAAAATAGTGTTTTTTGCGTTCAAGTCTGAACAAAAAATGACAATGCATATGTATTTATAAGTATACATAGAGATATGCGTATACAAAAGAATGTATTGTAGTTACTTGTCATGAATAAAAGATGAAAATATTTTTTGCAATCTACGGATTACTTCTTTTTATAAATTATTTTTTATAAATTCGTTTTACTAATTAACGAAATATTTATAATCTTGATGAATTATTTACTGATTTGATAATAAGTACAGCTCTCATCTAGACTTAAGTAGCAAACAATAAATTATACTCGTGTTATTCCTCTTGTACTAAGGTAGATTTATTAAAATACCATTACATTAGTACGTACATACATTTACATATCCATGACATTTAAATATGACCATGAAAATGGGCATTGAATTTAAGAATGCATAATTTAAATAGAAACTGGACATGCAAATATGTTAAAGTTCTACGATGTCCTTGGTTCTTAAAATTGTGCAAGTGCAATTAATGTTTGTTCACCAAAACAGTAAAATATTATCTGTTAATCGTAATTAGAGAATAATTTGAAAAATAATTGGCCACTATAACTGGAAAGATAACGGTACCTTCTAATTATTACCTCCACCATAAATCTTATTTTAAGTGTTATTAGAATACTGACTGTTACAAGTATCGTTCACGTTCCCCTTCTTTGCATACAAATTTGTTATTTTTATTGTCAACTATATATCTGTTACATATTATATTGTAATATGTAAAATAACATAATATACAATTAGTCACTCATCTATAATATTTTTACTATTAACTGTAAACAATACCAATATCACCTGTTTACTACATTATCACGCACTCCACGTGCTTGCTAATGGATACGTTATTTTTGAACAAATATTTTACTTGTTCACTCATACTCAACAAAGGTTTAAACCTTTTACTCGATGGTCGCAATATTGTCCATTCAACATTCCATTTAAGGTAAAATGTGAATAAATAGCAAGGTAGATTTCGAATCAAAGAGAGGAAAAAAATCTTCATCGGCTTCAAGGCGAATTTATTTTTTTTTAATTGATCATAAATATCAAGCTATATATTAACATCATAACTACCAGTCCCATCGGAATAAGCGAAATCGGATCTTTCGTTTGTATAGTTAGTAGAAACACACACACACACCCACTGACAAAAGTTAAAAGACAAAGTAATCGTTTGAGAATAATTACGTACCTTTTATCTTCTTAGATAGATAGATTAAAATTAAAAATAGGCTTAATTCAAGAGACTCAAAAGGAATTTATTGCTTATCAACGTACAATGCGTTATCTTTTCTTCATATTTTTAATTTTAATATATGCACATGAGAATGTAAAGAATGCACAAAACTACGCAGATCATTTCGCAAATTGACGTTGATTTCTATTGAAACAAATATAATTATTAAACATATAGTTATTTATTTTTATTACACTATATGTATATAGTATATTTCAAATACATAGGTATCTGCATATATTTAAATAGAAATTACAAATCGGTACTCAACAGTCGGTATTCAACTATTAATTACAATATTACATATTTTTGCACATACTGTATATTAACTTAGCGCTGTAATTTCCAACTTATAATTTATGCCTAAATATATAAGCAGATAAAACTGGTCATAAAAATGTCAACGTTAATTCTACCAAACTGACATGCACGTTTCCAATATCTCCCAAAATCAGATGCCTGAAACCATTCATTTTGACTAGTTTAATAACTATAATATTAGAATACAGATCATAAAAAGTAAAATTAAGTAATCTAACGATTATTATAATACCTGTATCATGAAAGTCGCCATTTTATAATCGCAAAGGTATTGCCAACGATTCAATAGTTTAACGTGTCATTATAGTCAATTATACTCGAACGCTGACTGCTTAAATCTTTTTCATGATATAATTACAGTGATTATAAACTTATCGATTCAACGATGCAAACAGTGAGTAACGAAGAATGCGATATAGTGAGTCGATCTACAGAAATTGTGATAACGAAGCAAATTCTGTCGCGAGTCTTTCTTCAAGGCGATGAATCAAATTCGTATGAAGAAACCTTCAGGAAAACACGGCAGTGTCGAAAGATGAATTTCTGGGAAATAAACTGAAAAACGGAAAAAAGGAAAGGGCATCGCTTGTGGTCACATTCGCGGTTAAACAGGTGCATTTGACGCATTAACAGAACACGCATAATTAGTAATGAAAAATGATTTCAAGGTACGGATTCCTCGAGTCTTCTGACTCACTTCGTTGCCATTTGTGAGAGAATGACGTATGCGAAAGCATATTATTTTCGAAGTTACGTTTGTACACGATATACAGTGTATATACACGATTTCATTGAATCAGCTACGACGATTTGCTACTTTGCCCTTCGTCATCTTGTTCTTCAATGTTTTCCTAGTTCTCGTTTAGTACCGAATTTTTTCCTGTGAATTATTTGTTGGTAATTAACTCGTATGAGTAATTTGCCTAGTAGCTTATCCATTGTCACGTCCATTGTCACAATTGTTTCTAGGCTACAGTATAACAAAAACGAAATATTTTTTAATCCATAATTTTATGATATCAATTCAAATTTCCACGAAAACGATATTCCAATTTTCGAGGAAACGTCTCAAACTGTAAAATCGTCATAAAAATAATTCAAATTTCACGCTCACTGATTCGCAATTAGCATCGATTTCACGCATTATCTTTCTAATGAGACTTTAACTGCGTTCTAAATCGCACTTTTTCCTTTTTAACAAAATTAAATGACAATCAACAGAAGTAGATTTCACAATTTTCGTGTGATAAATTCGCGACTGAAATTCAACAGTTTCAGAAAAATATTTCCATCTTTTATCTATTCTGATGTTTATTCTGATGTTTGTCTCCATGAAATCAATCCATCAAACGTTGATACTCCGTGGCACTTAATGCTGCATCGCATTATTTCACGTGACAATCGAATACAAAAAAGGGACCAGATAATCAACGATGATTTGTTATATACAACAGACGTTTGACAAATGTATTGAAAGATCGTTGAACAAGCTTCGATGATAACTTGTCGAGAAATAATGGAATGTGTACGCGTCGCAGAGGCCTGAGAAGCGGTCTAGTTGGAAATAAATTATACAGGAACATTCTCTAAAGAGGAAGAAATGAACGATTCTTGAGAAATTAGACTCGCCAATTGGACCATCTATTAGACAATCTATTAGATGAACAAAATCGTGAAAATTCCTATGAAACAAAAGAAACTATACGTTAAGTATAAACTCCAACCGAGTTGCCGCTACATCCACTGAAAACTTGCTATTTTCTTTAACACTGAACTTGTTAATACTTCTTATAATCTGGTCCAGCGTATCACACGTGATTCCTTCCTGGTCGATGATAATTAAGAAATTCGTTTCTTCTCGTTCCTTTCGACTTTCTAAAAGATGAATCCGTTGGATCGTGATCATCCTAATTAAAGCGCGTAACAAGCTACGAACTGTGGATCCGGTGAAATTTAATTTAACGTAGGGAATATAATGTCAATTGAATGGAAATCAGTTTTTTCTGAGCGGCAATTTTATTCCTTGCAAGCATCACGTGCTAACGTGGAAAACCAGTTAAACCTGTCTAACTTCACTTTTGGACGCAATTATCACCAGTTATCCGGTAACTCCGGCAGCATGCCTGCCTGCATACATTATGGTAATCTTAATATGTAGATGCCTCGTGACTGCAATTTTTATTTTACCTTCTCCTTTTTCTATTTTGATTCCGATCATAGTACTTTCTAAATCCGCTTGTCGAAAAGGTCGTCACGCGATCCGAAGAATCTACATCTCCATCCGGAATTCCACAGGCGTGTTAACTAATTTCTGCACGTTTCATCGCCCACTATTAACATCTCGTGGTTAACTATGCGATAATCATTGTTACACTCAAGTATTTGCACGTATCATTATCTCATCCGTGAAATTTCACCCAGTTGTATCAATATAATATAAGTGGCCATAGCACCTTTGCTGGTCGCGTTAATTTCAGGACATTCGATGACTTTGAACAATTCCTATGTAAATTAAATCTAGTAAAGTAAATGTCATACACTGCTTTTATAATTTATCTTCGAATGCTTGCTTGTTAGTTTTCGCTTCATTAGCTTGCTTCATAATTACTTGGAGCTTTGTTTTCCGGTCAGATACAAGATTTAAACCAATTATTCGATGTTGATTACATTACAGAGAGAGATAATAAAAATAAATGATAGTAATATGATTAACTCTTTTTATATCACGTACATTGCGACAAAATATTATTTAAACGAATCAAAATGACTGGTTCCAGATTTTTTGTATTGCCAATTACTGCAAATGTACAGTTGCTTTTGGCAAGATTAGTATTCTCCTCTGTTAAGATAGAAATTTAATTATATGTACCTATTTATTTTTATCGTACTGCTTTGATTATATGTTATTATTAGCTATGTACAGTGTATTTAAATAGAGATTAACACATCGATAATCTCAGTGTTAATAAATTTCCCTAATTTATTTCCAATGATTTTCTCTATATACTATCACGATTATCTTAACACCTAACATCCAATAATCTTCTCTGCGAGGTAGAACAAGCTTGGAATAATAATTTTGAGGAAGATCAAACTATCGTAGGTTTTCCTAAAACATTGAAAGACATTATAATTTATATCTTATTTTTCCATAATGGTACAAGATGATAATAATAAAAAGTGAAACGATTTAACACGGTATTATTTGTTTCAGATCCACAAAATCCTGAAAAGAACCTGTTATGCTCTCTGGGTAGAAAATGGCTGTATCAACGAATTAGAAAATCCTGTAGGAAAAAGTTGCTTTATAAAAGAGTACCTATAGTATCGTGGATACAAAAGTATCGCAAGGATTACATAGTAAGTGATCTGGTTGCCGGTATTACCGTAGGCCTTACCGTTATACCACAAGCAATAGCTTATGCGAACGTCGCAGGACTTCCTTTGCAGGTAAGAACATATATTCGTTTACGTTTGGAAAATTCTCCTAAAACAAACTCGTTCATTTTTGCTTCACGTTAAGTACTTGATATCGTATCATTATTATCCTATTCACTAATTTTCATACGTGTAAAATATTTTTAGCATAATTCACTTTTTGTCGTATATCTATTGCCCTTTATAGGAATTCAAAATTTAATATGAATAGTGACTCGATGTATAATTTCAAATGTTCCTATTGGAATTTTAAAAAGCACATCAGGTTTTCGAAAAAATTTCGCTGAACACTGAAACTACCAATCTTTAATATATGTTTAAATACTGTACTTATAGATCATAACAATTAAAGAATCAGGGTGAAATTAGATAGGTGCATATAGATGTACATTTGTGTAAATCGATAAAAATTCAAATTAAAGTTGTCAAAAACAGTTGCCTTCGATAATTAAAACAATAAAATGTTTATCACTAGTCATTTTGACTTGTTGATTGTCTTACAATTAGTATATATTTATTTTCTTATCATTAAAGCTTTTATTTTTATTAGTTTTAATATTCAAACAAATTTAATGTCATTTTGTCGTAATAATTTATAATTTGTAATAATTCCTTGTTAAACATTTTTTTATTTTGCAGTATGGTTTATATTCGTCTTTCATGGCATGCTTCGTGTATACCATCTTTGGATCCTGTAAAGATGTGCCAGTCGGTCCAACTGCGATTATCGCAATTTTAACAAGAGAAACATTACAGAAATCAGATTTAGGCCCTGACTTTGCAGTCCTTTTAACCTTCATCTCTGGCTGTGTGTGTTTATTAATGGGAATTTTACATTTAGGTAATTCATCATCGAGCATTTTCTAATCAAAAATATAATAAACTCTCAAAACACTAAAAATTGACGAATTATATTCTACATGTTACATTTGATAAAATAATTTCAAATTAAATAACGATGAAATTTCAACTTTATATTATAATCTATGTACACAAGGAAATTCAAAATGTTCGTAAATGATTATATACATGTATATATATATATATATATCTATTTAGATGAAAACATTTTAACTATGTTGTTTAATAAACAACATATTATTTAATAATTATTTAATAAATATTTGCAAATTTTCTGTTATTAGGTTTTTTATTGGACTTCATATCAGGGCCAGTTTCGGTGGGTTTCACATCAGCGGCAGCAATCATTATTGCTACCAGCCAAGTGAAGGATATCCTAGGCATTCGTATAGGTGGTAGTAAATTCGTCGAAGTATGGCAAAATATATTTGAAAAAATCGGAGAAACGAAACTCTGGGACACTGCATTGGGCATTACTTGTATAATCGTCCTTCTTCTTCTTAGAGTTAGTATTGTCTCCTCGATTAACGCAAAGTAATAATTAATCCTTATAAAGTTCAACCATAGTAGCGTTGTTCCTCTTCATCTCCATACCTGTTTACATAGGCCGGCACGTGCTAGTTCTAATGAGTGATTCGTCACGAGTTATTTTATTCATAAATTCATTCCGTGCAATTATGATATGTTATTTTTACACTACATTGTCACATGTTAGATAAACAAATCGATAATTCGATACTTCCTGAATACCGCTCATTGAAAATAATTTAATGATTTAAAACATGAAAACATATGCTTACAAATAATTTTTGGGGTATATGACATAAATAATACGTGCATTGATTAAAATTAATTCGATTTAAATTTAAATTTTTTACATATTTTTGTTACTAAAATGTTATTTGTTATTTATTTGTTCCACATTCTTCTTTTGACAAAATAAAATAGGTAAAATTTTACGCGTTCCTTTTGTTCTTGCAGAAAATTAAAGACATACCATTTATGCAAAAAGCGGCAAAAATGTCATCGAAAGTACAAGTAGTTATGCAAAAGTCACTCTGGCTGCTATCTACGGCTCGAAATATTCTTGTGGTCCTCGTTTGTGGTGTTATGTGCTGGCTCCTAGAAAGTCACTTGGGTTCCTCGCCTGTTAGACTGACGGGCCACGTTAAACAAGGACTTCCGGAATTTCGGCTACCACCATTTCAAACCTACCACAAAAACGAAACTTACGACTTCGTTGACATGGTTTCCGCCCTAGGCTCTGGATGTCTAGTCATTCCTTTATTGAGCCTTTTAGAAGCCATCTCTATTGCCAAAGTCTTTAGTAAGTTTCATGTCATACATTTCTTGTCAATTATATAAGTTCTATTTTCAAAATAAGATTTTTCTATATCTTAATAAAAATTAACGAATTCAATTAGTAAAAATATTATAAATTAACCGCAAAATTAATACTAAAAAGACAGCAGATTTTGTTTAAAAAGGACAGTTGCTATCCTGAATTTTAAAAATACGAAACAAAAACTATTATTAAGAATTAATAATATGTCATATTTATAATGATTACACTTGTTATTATAAAAATCTAATGCGATATTTATGGAAATTGCATTTTCTTATAGATGAAGGTAAACCAATCGATGCAACGCAAGAAATGTTGGCTTTAGGCGCATGTAACGTTGTGTCAGCTTTCGTTTCTTCCATGCCCGTTAGCGGTGGCCTCAGTCGCGGTGCCGTAAATCATTCATCTGGAGTAAAGACGACTCTTGGCGGTGTTTATACTGGCATTTTAGTACTTGTGTCACTTCAGTTCCTCACCCCGTATTTATACTATATTCCTAATGCCGCCCTTGCGGCGATCATCATTGCAGCGGTTATCTTCATGGTAGAGTTGCACGTAATCAAACCCATATGGCGAACAAAAAGTACGGAATGTTTATTATTTTATAAGCAAAACATTGCATAGTTTTGTTCTTCGAATAGTATTTTGTTATTGCAAAAATTAAGCGTTTAAGTAACAAACTAATTTAATGTCATTTATCCTTATGCAGAATATGCATATAGAATGCTAACTAATTTTTATATGAGTCATAGTTTATAAATAACTAGAAAGCTTTAAAGTATTTTCTCATATTTACTTGAACTTTGTGAACAATATTTTATGAATTTACAAAGCTTTTGCAAATGCCTGTAATCAGTTTTATGTAATTTTATATCAATTAGTGTTAACTATATTAAATAAAACTTTAAGAAACAATTCAAAATAAAAAATATACATTCAGAATTTATCCATCTACCAAAAATTTAATAAATGTAATTAATATATTTTTTTTTTTTTCAGAAATTGATCTCATACCAGCAATAGCTACATTTTTATGCTGTCTTTTTATAAGACTTGAATTAGGTATAGTAATTGGTATTGGTATAAACGTTTTGTTCCTACTTTATGCTTCAGCGAGGCCGTCATTGCGAGTTCATAAAGATACAGTAAGAAAGCTTTCATATTATAATATTCTTGCTAACTTACCTTCTGTATTTTATACTTAACGAAGAAATAGTAACGTAATACTAAAAAATCCTACCAAAATAGTAAAAAATAAAAATCTTATTCTTTCTTTCACTTTTTATATTATTCGCAATACTGTTTCAGAGTATTAATGGTTATGAATATCTTGTCATAACACCTGACAGAAGCCTTGTTTTTCCGAGTGTCGAGTACGTGCGAGCTGTAATCAGTAAGCAAGGTACGAAACAGGGAACCGCCGTCCCTATTGTCATAGATTCTACGCACATTCAAGCAGCAGATTTTACAGCCGCGAAGGTATATTATAAAATACCATCTGAACATATAAGTTACAAAATCATCGATCATAAAATTGATTAATAATAACTAATAATTCATTTATTACAATGTGCATGTCCATTATTTAGGGAATAAAAAGTTTAACAGAAGATTTTTCTAAACGTGGACAACCTTTGATTTTTCATAATTTGAAACCAAGTGTCATTGAAATTTTCAAAGGTGTAAAACCTTCTGGTTTGAGGTGTAGTTCTAGTGAACTTGAACTTAATGACTGTTTGAAAGGTAATTAAAATGCTTAATAAAATAGAAAATTATATATATAATGTATAATTTATATAAAATTTTTATTTATTTCCAGAATTTTCGAATATTTCATCGGCTACTATGAACGGGTACTGATGATATTTAGGTTTTTAAAAATTGTGTCCCGGAAGTACTTTTTTTATTTTATATATCAGTATTATATTAACACGAAAACAAACAATAATATAGACAATATTATGATAAGAAAAAGAAATTTGTTAATAATTATTATAAAATAATAATTAGCCCTTTTGACACAATAGTTAATTACAGTTAATTACATGATGTTTCACATATTTACATGTAACAAAATAAAAATTTGTTTACTAAAAATGTGATATGCATTAGTGATGTGAATTAATTTTAAATATTATAAGAAAATATGATAAAAAGTTAAACTACTAATATTGTGTCAAAAGATTCCATTATTATAATATAAGTAAATTCGTAGGGTGTATATATAAATATACAAATGACACAAATCTATATAATATCAACACAAATCCATATAAACAACAATAGTATTTTACATAATTTTTTATACACATGTACATGTCTATTTAAAAATAGCTTAAAATGTATTTAATATCCGTTTATACCTCATATTATTTTCAAAAATATCAAATATTAAAGAATATTTTAGGTACAGTATTCTGAGTTTTAGATAACATGCCACAAAAATTAAAATTTCAATAAAATTAGTTTAATCTACAAATTTCCTTGAGAAAACATCACCTGCATTTTCCAATTAAAAATACTTAACTAATGTAATTATGAAAATAATTTTCTTTTTTTTTTTAACTTTTTCATTATTATAAGTTTTTGTCACTCGAAGTCATTTTATTTTTTTGGTCATTTTTTTCAATCATATTGGTTAATTTATATCCAAAATTCTTGCACCCATTGCAGAATTTGCTATATAAAATGTTGCATTTCCAGGATATCTGTTATAAAACATTATTTTTGAACATTTTTATTCAATTAAAAAATTATACAAGTTATAAAAGTATTTAATAGAAATAAAATCTAACTTAGCCTTCATGTGATTGATTACTTTATCAATCATATCCTTCTTCAATAATGTTACTGTACATCCTCCAAATCCAGCACCAGTCAAACGACTTCCTAAGACACCATTTACTTCTCTTGCTGCCGATACTAATGTATCTAACTCTACAGATGAAACTTCATAATCATTTTTTAAAGAATCATGACTTTCGTTCATTAACTGACCAAATTTATTCAAATCTCCTTTTTCCAAAGCAACTGCAGCATCAACCGTTCTTTGAATTTCTGTGACTACATGACGAGTTAGTTTTATCATTTTTTCAGATACATTTTGCAACTGTAAGACTAAAAATAAAATGAAATTAATAGAAAACTATAATGTTGTATTTCAATATAGTTATATTGATTTCCTACCTTCAATATCACTCAAAGACACTTCGCGTAAACTTTTTTTATTTAACTTTTTTGCAGCTTCATAACAACAATCTCTACGCTCACAATATGCACTTGAACTTAATTTATGAGGAGTATTAGAATTAGTAATTAGAAAAACATAATCATTCATTTGTGACATAGGTATTTGTTTAGTATTAAGATTTTTACAATCAAGGAGAAGAGCATAACCTTCTCTTGCCATCACAGAAATAAACTGATCCATGATACCACATGGAACTCCAGCAAAATCATGTTCAGCATGTTGACATGCAAGGGCCTGAAAAATATTTTCTATGAATTTTTTATTTCAATGAAATTAATAATTAATAATATATAAATTATTCAAGTATACTTTATCCTCTGGCTTGCTTGATTTTACATTAGTTAATGCTTCTAAAAATGTATAGATAGCAACTTCTAATGCAGCTGAACTACTCAAACCAGCACCAACTGGTACAGATGACACAATCACAGCATTAAATGGTGGCACATCACCTACAATTAACATTTTAAATAAATCATAAACAATAATAGATTTATTATACCTTTTTTAAATAACAACCAAACTCACAAATAAAGTTTGCAATACATCCTTTCACATAATTAGCCCACTTTGGTTCTCCTGGTTGTATATTCTTACGAGAACTAACTTCAAAGTCTGTATAATTTTCAAAACTAACAGTTTCACTCAGAGAAACAATTTTACATCTTTCTATATTACTAAGTTTTCCAACTATGAGTGTAACCATAGGCAATGCCTAGATATTCATAAATTATATTATACTTTGATTCATCATTATAATATATCATTATAATCATCATCGTTATAATATTATAATAAAAGTTAGAAAATAGTTAATAATTTTTTATAATTTATCTCATATTTAATTATATATTATTAAGTACAAATATATTAAGAAAAATTAGTACAATTACAAAATCAGATAAATAACAAAAATAATATAATCAAAATTAAGGAAATAAATATGATTAATATTTTCTTTCAATTAAATTCTATCAGTACTTGCTAAAAATAAATTTGTTGCAACTGAAACAAATTTGTAAATTCAAAAATACTTTTTTTATTTTTATTTATTTATTAAAGTATATATTCATGTTAATAAGCAGAACAATTACCGAATGAAGACTTGCTAATTAAACTTCTAAATATAATATTACAATCGAATGGAAAATCAAAATTTGATTAATTAATGTCACATATTATAACTAAGAATAACATAAAAATTAGAAATGATGTTATGAAAAATGTTTTCCGCGTAAACACAACAAAAATAATCATAACTTTAATTATTTTACTTTATGTAAAAATGATATAATATTTATTTAAATATTAAAAATTTTACCATCGGTAAAACGAAACCTTCGTTATAATCAGTATGCTCTCCAATTAAATTTACGCGACCGGGTGCGCATACACAAATATTCGCATTTTCTCCAAATTCTTTCACAAAAGCTTTTAAAGCTGTCGATTTCATTTCATCTATATTAGAAACATTTGTTCCCATTTCTATCAGTTTTTTGAAGTTATTTGCGTGTATGTAATGTCACTTACAAAATATATCAAAATTGCACAAAATATATACACAATCTTTAGTTTTAGTTTTAATTGTTGTTTATTTTTATAACTGATTAAATAATACACAGGAATGAAAAAGTTAACTACATATATCAGTTTAATTCTACTTAATCTATAAAGTACGGCAGATATGAATACTCAGTAGACTTTGAACAAGTGGTAATAAATTAATATCAGGCATATGTTATATCAAAACTTTAATTGTAATGTAGACTTTATCTCCAATGATTTGTAGATAGTCTACATGTATGTACATGTATACTTTCAACATGTGTACCATAAATGCAATAGATTTAACGAAGATAATGTTTAACGTATATACGAGGAATATGCTTCCAAGATACTAAAACAATAATGCATCATTAAGTTAGTCTAAAATGATACTTCTTTTAATCATTGAGAATTCCTAATTAAGATCTAGTATACCTAATATAAAAATTATCAATGTATGACAATAATTCAAATTGATAATGCCATGGCTGTCTCAAATCCTCTTATCAAAGAACTGAAAGGTAACTAAATGACATAATATTCTTGTAGGTTAAAACATTCTTTTAGTAAACAGATTATTTTTTCACAACAAATATTAATACTTTTATTATAAAAATCACTATTAAGACACTTACCTATTAAAATTTTTTGTTTTGAAATATCTCCAAAAAATTATGAAATTATTAAAACTTTAATTATTTTCATATTACTCTGGACCTTGGTAAATAATATAAACAGAAATATCTAAAATGTAAAAGACTTCAATTATTTATATTAAAATAACAATAAAATGATCTATTTTTGTGGTAATGCTTTCTTGTCTGTTATTTTATTTATTAATATTGACAATATTTAAATCATAAAAATGTAGCTTATTTTCATTCTTATTCTGTTTTATCATCTTATAAATCCTAAAATTAAGAAGTTGTATAACAACATAATAACTATATCAGTGAATAAAAGATACAATACTTTCAGGTTTGACAAGAAAATTAATTGAATGTGAAATTGAAATCAATGATAACAATGAGCATCTGCTATTCTTTTATAAAAGTTTAGAAAGATGTTTCCAAAAAGGTATATTGATGCGTTTAAATCCCATAGGTTTTTCAAAATTACCTAATGCTTGGTATTGGTTGGAAGAAATTACAGAAAAATATTTTTGGTTTGTAAAAAACATAATGAACAAAATTTTGTATAATTTATTTCAATACCTTTATAATATTTTAAGTAAGTAATAACATTATTTTAGTTCCTGCTCCACATATTCTTTGGTAGTTGAGCAAGTCAAACAAAATCCTAAAGTGTACACACCAACTGGACGTTTCAGACTTTTAATTAAGACATGTCTGATGCGAAAGTGCCTTCATATGCCAGTTGAACTGCTGGTATTTATAAATTATATATAATACTTAAAATATAATGTATATTTTTCATATTCTATAAAATTAATAATTCTTTTAGCACATTTTTAATTCTTCATAATAGTTATGTTTTTATTATAACAAATTATGCATGTAAAACTTCACAGGTAAGAACACCATTAATGGCTACTGACTATTATGATAAAAACAGTATTCTGGGAGATAACATACTTGGAGAAATATTTTTATCAGTATTATTGCTAAGCAGTAAATTAAATTTTAAGTTAAATTTACGGAATTCTAGTTTTTTGGATGAATCTTGGCAATTGCCAGAATGTTTAGCTTTAGAATTAGTACCATGCAAAAGTTTGGGTATCTCTGTATGGTAAGAAATTTACATTATTAAATATTTTTACATTATTAAATGTTATTAAATATTATTAAATATTTACAAATAATATTTTGTATTATTACAGTTTTATCAAAGGAAAAGCTTTAATAGTTAACTTGGACAAAAATTCTGTAGCTGCAGAAGATGTAATAAATAAGATAATTCTTTTAAATACTCATATAAACATATATAAAATGATTATTTTATTTACAATTGTAATTTCTGTTTAATTTTTATTTTTATCAGGATAAAGTTGAAATTGGAGATGTATTAGATGAAATAAATGAAAATGCTATAACATCTAATACCAAAGGACAATTACGTAAATTTATGGAGAAAGCTGTAGGTCAACCAGTGTGCTTACATGTAATTAAAGTATGTATATTAAAATAACAAAACATTTTAAAATATAATTTATTTCTAATATATGTCATGAACTTTTAGCACCGTAATAAAAAAACCTATGAATTATATGCACCAATTGTACACCTTATAAGAAACTCGGGTATTGAAGGTTTGAAAACAATTTTAAAAAAATTTAATTCTGAGATACATGATGAAAGTGAGAAAACTGAAATGACTAAATCAGAAAATGAGTCACTAAATGCTGGATTTTCTGTTAAATATTGTGGTTGTGTATATATTGGTACAGAAGGACATGTTAAACTAATAGAAAAAGCAATTCTACAAGTATTGAGGTCAGAAGATATAAAATCAATATCTGTGAAATTTGAATGCCTCGAACTAGGAATTAGAGTGACTCAAGATTCAAATGATACAGTATGTAAATATCATATTTATCATTTACAAATTTATTATATCATAATAGTACATTTTATTTAAATGTTTAGGTAATATGTAAACAAAGTTACATGGAAATTTCATCTTGTGGTCGCACTGGAAATATTCCTAATTATTTTGCATTTATTGCTGGGTAATCTAAATGATTTTGTACTTTTCTTTTAATGAAAGTAACAATAAGTAGTATTAGCTCATTTCATGTTGTATGAACTTACATTAATATATCCTTAATTCACTTTACAGAGATACTAATTGTAACTTAGCAACCAAATTTGATGCATATGTATTTTATCATCAAAATGAAACTGAGGTGCAAACTATATTACAAAGTTTGGGTCAAGGATTTCAGCGTACTCATTTTGCAGTTTGATCATCTTAATCAAGAAAAATAATTTTATACAAAATTATTCTTTCGAACTTCATGTAATAACATATTTTTCTATTTTCAATTCTAGTCGAACTTTATGTAATAACATATTCCTAAAACATTATCACATAATCGCATATCTAGTCAGTTTGAAATTAACTGTATTCTCTATTTATTTTATTCCTTCAAAAATTTTCCTTTGTAATAAAGATTACTTCAAACATATAGCTTTAAAAAAATATAAACTGATCATTTTATTCAATGAAATGATAAATAATAAGTATGTAATTGTTTATTTAATTATACACATAAGTATATCATCTAAGTAATTAATCCTGTGTAAAGGGTTAACTTCTTATAACTAACTTGTAATATGAATTGTCTCTAATATAATTAAAATTTCGTAAGAATAATTCCTATAAAATTTAAAAAGTTTTGTTAAGGACAGCATACACTAGTTTTTTTGTTGAATTTTTTATGTGACTCTAAAGTAATCTTCAACTTTCAAACATGTTTCATCTATTCATCTATATATTTCATCATTTATTATTCACTTGTTATGAGATATATTGTTAGTTTTAAGTTAGTTAATTAATTGTTAGTTTTAGTCCATATAAAATCATTTTTAGATGCAAATTGTAAAATTGTGTTCAAAATGTAATACATTGACGAAGAAATATCTAAATTGATTCATTTATTTATTGAAAGATATTCAAGATTGAAGATTAAACGAAACGTTAGCGAGAAATAAAATATAACGTCCCACTAAAACGAAATTGACATTCTTATCTTATTAATACTTTGTAACAGAATAAAACTATTGTTATTGTATATATTCTTCCACAAAACGTTTCAATTTTTAAAAAATATATATTATGAGATTTCAATTATAGTAAAAATAGTTTAATAAAATCAGGTGATACACCCAGTAAAAAAAGAAAAACTTGTTAGAAAAAATAACGTTAAAATTTATGCATATACTCGTTTAATAAAAATAATATTTATATACTATATTTTATATTTTCTCATTGAATTTAAGAAATTACTTCCAATTATTTAAAGATTTTTATTCTCTTTTTACAAGAGTGACGGATTATTTCGTATCATACATTTTGAGTGCTATATGTAAGATATATATCTGCCGAATTGAAGCTGCTTTCAAATAACTAAATTTATAATTATACTTTTACACGTGCATGTATTATGCATTCATATATTTTATACACAAGCTATACATACTACATAACATGCATATTTTAATAAGACATTAAATAAAAATTTATTTTGACAGATGCTTTAAAAATAACGATTGAAAAATGAACAATTCTCGATTTAAAAGGAGTCGATAACAACTCGATCGGTGAGAAGAATCAAAAGATATCTCGAATCGGTGATTTTTATGTTGGGGTTGGGGTCGGGTTCGGGGTCGGAGTCAAGTTCCTTGCTTGCGACGTGCGCCGTAACCGTTGCGCTGTGTAACCTTCTGTCAGCCATCGTCGGCAGAGAGCGAGCACTCAGTAATTAGAGGAAAGATGGCTACGAACTTTGGCGTAGAGTGTCAGTACTTTTACGAAGATGTCGTCTATCGTATGGACAAGAAAGGTAACGTTGTGTTTGGAATCGTTATGGAAAGTGACAATGAAGACTTGTCCGAAGAAAGCTCTGACAGCGAATTGAGTCCAATGAGAAAAAAGGGCGAGATTCGCGTGGTTTGGCATCCCTCCGGTGTTGAGGAAGTGGTCAGCTCGAAAAAGGTATTCGACATTTAATATGATACAAAAATATGTCATTTATAATGAACAAACGATATATGAAGTGATTTTTAATATTTTATTATGGTATTCCTTTGCTTTTATTGTATTTGTTTTTAATTCCTTAAAAAGCGACACCTGTCATATCAACGATATCCGTAACTGAATATTAAATTTAAATTTGAATTTATATTTTATGTAATAACAATGACTTTCAATTATCATTAGAATATCAATTTTTTTTAAATTTATATTTTATTTATAGGTACATTTAGCAGACAGAACACTCATGCCAGGAGATGTTGTACGTCGGATGATTAAAGGAAAGGATACACAAAGAGGATACTGTAGAGATATTGAGCTTACTGCTTGTGTTCAAGTGATTGGTACTAAGCAAATTCTTACTAATATTAGAAGTGAAGACTTAGTTCCTTTGGAAGTATGTTATTAAACATTTATAATGATTATTTTTATCAAAATAACTCATATATCATGATTAATAGTTTCTGTTTATAGGAATTTGGAACAGATATAGCTGTTTGTATGGATTCATGGGTTGGTGGCATAAAACTGGCAAATTTAAAATTATGGCTTACTACACCCGATGGATCTCGATGTGTTCTAAATGAAACGGATCCTTGTATCTTAAGACAATTTGAGGAAAGACGTGATAATGTAAGAATCAAATCCAGAATAATCGTTTGGTCAAAAATACAATACAAATTTTTTAGGACAATGATTTTCCTCATTCTTCTGAATTTTATCCTGGTCAAAGTTTGTGGGGACCAGTTCAAGTGCTAGAAGTAGCACAATGGATTACATGTACAAAAGAAATGAAAGCGAAGAGAAAATCTAAACCACAAAAAATGACAAAAGTAATTGTAGAAAAAGTAGAAACAAATTGGGTAGGAGTGCATTGGCAATCTAGAGCATATTCAAAGGATGGTGCTTGGTCAGATCAAGCTCAACCAGAATTTATAGTTGAAGGAGAAAATTTAAAAAAGTTAAAATTATTGAATGTGTTTGAGTCATCTACAGTACAAGTAGGAGATCGGAATTTCTATATAATTAAAGGTGATGAAAATGTAATTACACGAGAACAATGGAGAAAACAACAAAGAGACATTTTTCAAGTTCCTAAACATAGTCCAAAGAAAACACGTCCAAATATCAGTGTTACAAAATCAGCTGAAGATAAAAAAAAAGAGAAAGACAAAGATAAAGTTAATGAACAACAAACATTAGAAGAAAATGCTCATAATAATATTAACAGTTTACAAAATATAACAAGCAATAATACTCTAATGCCTCCAGTACAAAATCAGAATACTGAAAGTTCAGATGATTGGGATACAGAAGATACTGGATCACAAAGTGATAGTGCTTCAGTAAGATTTTTTATTTAAAAAACTTTATTATTATTAAATTATTAAATTCTCATACCATTATTGAACACGAGATAGTAAACATTTTAATATTTTCAGGTATCTAGTGGATGTTCCAGTATGTCATCAATGGGTAAGAAGAAAAAGGGTCCAGCTTTAATGACAAAGGTATTGAAGAAGAAAAAGCTGTGTAAAGCAAAGAAGAAAGTTCCACCAGTTCCACTCATTCCAGGAACGAAAATTGTTGTAGAAACATTATCTACTAGTACAAAAGCTAATGTCGTGTGGCAGGATGGCTCAGTAGAATTTGGTAAATTTTATAAATAATCTCTTTAGTTATATATTATCACACAGTGATATAAAATTTGTATAATTTTTATTGTTTTTAGGTATTCCATCAACACAGCTTTATCCAATTCATCACTTAGATGATAAAGAATTCTTCCCAGGTGACTTTGTAGTTGATCAAAAAGAAGAATCCAGAATGTATGGTGTAGTTCAAAGTGTTGATCATCAAGGTAGAACAGCTAAAATAAAACGGTTTAAAACATACACTTGTAGTCAAAATCCACAGTAAGTATTTACTATTGATATATTTTTAATTATAACAAATAAAATTTATTGAAAAAAATGTAATACTAAACCCAATAAATATTTGTTAGACCAACTTTACTAGAAGAACGTGAAGTCAGTGTGTATGATTTAAAAGATCATCCAGATTTCCAATACAGACCAGGTACATTAGTAATTCGAATAGCTAATTTTGAAGGTGAAGATGCTGGCTGCACTGCTGGTCAGGTGCTAGATAATTATCCAGAAGGACGAGTCAAAGTGTGGTGGGTTGATGGACATGTAAGTATGTGTTGGCCTCAAGATTTGTATAAAGTAGGTGAATATGATAGTGATGAAGAAGTGTGGGATGATGTTTCATCTGATGCCTCGTGGGAAACGGAATTGGAAGATTGCTTTATTGCTGATACTGATGGTACAGAGCAAACAGAATTAGAGAATATAAAACCAAAACTAGCCGCTCATATCGAAAAAGCTCGTATTGCAATGTCTAGATTGGAAGAGATCTTCACTCAAAATCCTTTACTTCAGACAACTGAAGTTATGAGAAAATTATTAGAAGTTTATAAAGATTGTCGATACATGGATAAACTTATGGGTACCTCTTTCTTCCATGAATGTCATTTTCAAGGACTTTTAGAAAGAGTGCGAGAACGTGGTCGAGCAAATGTAGCGCAACGTGTAGCAGATCAAGTAACAAGATTATTTACACACAAATCTGATGGCTCAGAAGAAAACATAGAAAAAGACAATACAGAAAATTCTAATAGCATACAATCAGGGAGTAATCCTTGCGAAAAAATCATTACTACTGTAACAGATATGACAGAATCTATAGATAATAAAAGTGATGAAATTACCGATAAACAAAATATAAAAGGTGAAGAATCGATTGATCGTTTATTTATTAATGTTAATCCTAATCCTGAGGATTCTGGATTGTATTCTGCAGAAAATTCGAAAAAGGAATCAGGTTCAAGTGAGTCAAGTGGGGAATTTCTGCTTAGCGAGGATGTGAATAACGTACCTGATCGTTTAGTGGAGAAACAAGAAATAAATAAAACTTCCAAGACCCAGATGCACATAACGAGTTCTCATGTGGCTAGTTCTCGAGTATGCGTTAGATTATGTACTTTAATAAAAGCTCAACTTGTACTGGCACATGCAGAAGTTTATAGACGATTCGGATTATCAAAGATGTCATTATCTGATGCTGAAAAGAGCTCGTCACCTTTAAAGAAACAAAAAAAGGAAGAAGAAAAACGTATAGAATTGTTACAACAACCATCGGATTGTTCCATTGAAATTCCACCACCTCTATATACAGAAGGAGAAGGATTTTCTATAGAAGAAACAGCACCAGATAGTCATAAATTTAAATTAACGATGTTCCAGCCTACGGATCCTACAAACTTTTTCAGAACAGTTTCCAAAGAATTAAAACTTTTGAAAAGTTCACTTCCACCCGGTATATGGGTAAAAGGATTTGAGGATAGGATAGATTTATATTCTGTAATGTTTCGCGGACCTGAAAAAACACCATACGAAGATGGTCTCTTCCTTTTCGATTTTCAATTGTCTGCTGATTATCCTGCTGCTCCGCCACTTTGCCATTATATTTCTTACTGTAATGATAGGTTAAACCCTAATTTGTATGAAGATGGTAAAGTATGTGTAAGTTTACTTGGAACATGGTCTGGTCGTGGAACAGAAGTGTGGACAAGTTCTTCAACTTTATTGCAAGTTATAGTCTCAATCCAAGGTCTTATTCTTGTACCAGAACCATATTTTAACGAAGCTGGATTTGATAAGCAAAAAGGCTCTCAACAAGGGAAGGAAAATTCAAGAATGTATAATGAAATGGTTGTATTAAAACTGGTTCAAGCACAAACTAAGTTGTTACAACATCCACCATTTGTATTTAAAGACATTATTATTGAACATTTTAAGAGACATGCAAGAAAATTGTTACAACGTTTAGAATTGTGGATGGAAATTTCTGAACAACATAATAATCAACATCCATTATCTCCCGTAACACCCACTACTTTTAAACAAATATCCGATGTCGGTATGTTACTATTTTTCTTTTCATTAATATATGAAAATGTGGATTTAATGGTTTTAATAATTTTTCTTTTGTTTAGATAATAAAATTTTACCAGAATTCCCATTAATACCAGCATCTAGAGGTTTCTGTATAACACTTCGTAAAACTTTAGCTACATTCAAAGAAGTATTAATAAAAGAAAGTATTATAGAAAGAAATAATGAAATTTGTGGTTGGGAAAATGGCAAAGAGCAGATGAAGAATGACAGTCATGAAACAAGTAAAATTGCTGATAGTAATATAATAGAACGTGACAATAAAAAGAGGAATACTGAAGAAAGTTGCAAATTAACTCCAAATGGTAGTTTATCAAAAGATCGTGTTCCATCTTCTTCGACGAATATTTCTTCTGCATCATTGAGCGAAACGAAGAAAACCATTTCGGATCGTACCATCAGCTAGCCACAAGGTAAACCTAAATCTAAACCTAAAAATTTAGCTTGTAAAAGATAAACGATTATTCGGTAATACATTCAATTGATTTATATATATTAGTATAAAATATATTAATGTTCTTGTATACAATTTCATAAATTTCCAAAATATATTACACAATTTAATTTATGATGTTATATAGAATATATAATAATAACAATGTATTATATATAATATATAATATTATAATATTTACGGATATAAAATTAATATTTGGCCACGGGAGAACATATATGTATTTAGTTCCATAATTCTGCAATGAAAATAGAGGGTGTTCCACGAAAATGCAGTAATAACTTTACTGAATTGTTAAAACAAAGAAACAACAAGGGTGAAAATAATCTAAAATATTGAATAGATGAAAAAACATTATTACTGCATAAAAAGTGATAACAATTAAAATGGAAAATAAAATAACTGGTAATACATTGAGCCAACATGAGAACACTTTGCAATAGAATTTAAGAAACACGATAATAATAGCTCTTAATTCTAAATGCATTTCAATGAGTACACTTCGAATAATAATGCCATCAACTTATAAGAAAGAATTCATTATTCATCAAATATCTTAAAAATCATTATGCCATCCAATAATATAATATTTCAGGTAAAATTACAAAATGATTTTAATTTCAAATAGGTTGTAGTTTAGGCACAAAAGATTCGTATTTGGATGAGAAATCTATGACAGCTAATGTCCAATGTTATAGACACTTCTAATGTAATATCTAAATTATAGGAAATTAATAGACGTTCTATTGTCCACAGAAAAAAAAACTTCCTGTATCGATGATTTATTTCATATATTCGTAGAAAAAAATTGTCTACGCGAAGTCTCCGTTTTTCTTTTGATATGTCACAAGTAATTCGATAATAAAGTACTTAAAATTATTAAGAAAGATTGCGGAGAATATTAGTACTTATTATACAATGTAAGCGTTTTACAGTATTATTTATAGTTACTTTTTGTTTAATTCTATACTTCCCCAATGTAATATAGAATATACTTGTTTACTATGAGGAAGTCATGTTTCTGTAAATTTAAAAAACAACATATATAACAGAATATGGAGCGGAATATTCTGAAAAAGTGTATTGCACGCAACGAAATATTCAAAAAACGATCGTCATAAGAATACCATAGATCTTTATTTTTTTTTACTCGATATTATGTTGTATGATCTTGTTTTATTTATATAATCATATTTTATTTATTTTTTATATTAAAATTTAAAAGTATATATACAAATCGGAATAATAATTTGCATGTTTGTCTAATTATTTTGTCGAGTGAATAGAATTCCATAAAAAAAATTCTTTTTAAGAGTGGTTTACTTTCTAGTACATTTGTACATTTCTAAGTTACGATGCATTTTTTCCTTTATTTATATTCTTATATATATATGTTAACAAACGATCATAAAAATTTTTGTTACTAGATGGTGTTTGATCTTACTAATTACCTGAAAATATAAATGAAAATAAAATATGTTGCATTGATTGTTCGAATAATCATTTTTTTGTGATATTTTGTACCAGATATGTACCAGATATGTACAGTATGTGCGCGACTTGATACATTAATGCACAAATTCATGTTTCATAATTGCGCGTGAAAAAATCAACCACTTAATGTATACACAATTATATACGTTTCATTTGCATGTTTCAATTATATTGGACAATTTATTTTTCCGTTAAATATGTAACAAGTATAAGATATCACAAAATTTGCATGTTAATAAAGGATGTGCGATCACGTACTACTGTACATGTCGAAGTGTATCTTTTCTGCGGTAAATCAGCAGATTTGATATTCTTCGACCATATTGCAGTGTCGTCAAGCAATCGCCATAAAGTACGGCAACTTTGGAATTTTTGCACCAACAGGGTGCACTCGATACGGGTACAGAGACAAGAAAATAAAAAAAAAAAAAAAATAGAATGTACTTGCGCGAAGGTTTCCTTGAAATCATATGGTGCTGAATACATAAACAAAAAAGTGAGAGGAAGAAAGTCACAGTTATATGAGGGAAACTACAATTTCTAGAAAAGAAAAAAAGGAGAGAGAACGCGAAAGAGAATGTATTAAGTAGAAAGATAGCTAAACTAGATGAAGAAAATAATAAAAGACGAAGAAACGATACAAGTTCTGCCGTTTAAGGCAGAGTGGAGCTTGTTATTGTGAAACGTGATGTTTTGGAAAGCCTTGTATATGTGCCAGCTATTTCTATTTACATTATGATGGTGATTATATTCGTAAGTTGCATAGAGCTTTATTTTCGTCGTAAATTACTTTAATATTATATGAAAAGAAAAGAAAAAACAGAATATATTTAATTATTCGAGTCAGCATACGAAACGTCGATACCAACATTTTAAATACTGCTTCACTGATCAATTTTCACAATCCTTTGAAACACTATCTAAAACATGATAAACGATTGATTTTTCAAATTATTTTTCAAATTTTTTCATTATTAAAATTATTAAAAATATATTTTAATAAAAATTTACCAAAGGATTAGTGAACAATTAAATCAATTATTATTAAGATATTCATTTTAATTATGCAACATACATTATTTAATATGCAACATAATCTTCAACTGTATGTCATTTTATTTTATGTATTATGAAGAGAAGGATAGTTCTTTTAATTGATATTTAATTAAAGATCTTTTCTCGTTGGTATCGATTAATATAATGTTACAACGATAATGTAAAGAGTTACTACTTGTATCTTGATTTCCTTAATCTTTATTTAATAAAAAGTCAGTATGCGACTAAAAGATATTAATAAGAAAATATAAATCTTTTCTGTTTAATAGATCCTACCCATACTCACCTGAATCTTCAACCTGCACTCCCGATAATCTGCTTCATATCCGAACCGTCAAATTCCAGCTACATTCTGGATTTCCACATTTCTTTAAATTATTCAGTATCAAGCAGAAAATCCAATTCTTAATATTCAAATCATCTTAAATTAATAGTGTATCAATAAAATGAAATATTTTATAGAAACTTGTACATACGTTATTATGCTTATATAAATTTATTTCAACTAAACCAAACTGTTTTTCATATTTATTTAAATAATTATTTATAATTTATTTTTTATTTTAATTACTTTTTATCTGAATTTTTAAAATATGTATTACATAAAAAAATATTAAATAATAAAGATATATGTAGAACTTCGGCAAATGTTCATAGAAAAAAATTTCTTTTATCTTTTGTGAAAACAAGATAAGACGCGTTTTCTACTTGTTATCAATATTTCTTATCAAAGCGTTGATTCATACATTCGTGCCCATATCATCTTGATACCTTAATACGGTTTGATCATTATTCACCTAGTTATTTCACCTGCAAGTATTTTTTTATTGTATTATTTCCTATAGTGTACACAAAAAATGTATTCCAGAAAGTTATTGTGTAATATTGCTATTGGTCTATGTAAGTATACACTTCAATTTATATGTTTAAAATATAATACTCACAAAATAATTGTTATAATCAAATGTCTATTATGTCTATGTTTTAATTTATATGCTATAAATGTGCATATTACAAATTGATTTGACAAACACAAAACACAAAATTTAATTATAATTATAGCAGTTAAAATCTATAATTTATATTATTCCCACAATTTAAATTTCATAAAATAATATTTATAGTAACATGCATAGAAAAGTATTTATCCTTTTTTTGATAATGTTTTTAAATTACTGTATAAAGAAGTAAAATATAAAATTAAATTAAACAAAAAAGTACAAATAAAATACTTACACATAGTGTGCTATTAAAAAAGTAATTTTACAAATGATAATATCAAACAAATTACAAATGCTAGAAAACAATGATGCAATTAAACAAAATATAATTAAATATTTGTATAATAACGGTTCGACTTATATTTGAATACTTCTGTATCATTATTAGTAATATTACGTAAATAATTTGCAAAAATATTAAAATATGATATATTATTTTGCACTAACTTATCCGCTTTAAACAGTGATTATGGGAATTGTAATGGGCGAGGTGGACGCGCGACGTAAAATTTTGAAAGGTAGAAAAACAATTACAAGAAATTACTACTGTAAGTAAAAAATACAAAAATAAAAAGGGAGAAGAAAAAATAATATGTACAATAATCAAATACGCCACATCTTTCAGGGGGAACAGCAATACCAGCATGGACAATAGTACTCCTGATAGGAATCGGTATGCTGCTTGCTGGTGGTGGACTATACGTCTTATTACAAAAATTCGTGATTGATAATGCTGATACTGGAGAAAGGCATTCATATCAACCTACATTACAAAGTGAAACTTCACCTTAAATATTTTATATTAAATGCACACACATTGGATCACTCTTTATACCTTGACATGAACATAGATTATATTAAAACATTTTTGTAGAAAAAATTTTATATGAACACAGTGACAATTTATTATTTATTTTTATATAATTCTGCCTTTAACAATGGTTTATTATTTCAATCTCACTACTGATTAACGAAAAAAATGATGTCGCTATTTGTACAATGGCATCCTTCATACCATATTTTTTTTTTACTAGCAATTTCATAAATTATGAATTATTTATATATGGTTATGTCATCGAAAGATACATAAATTACAACAATTACCATTTAATGCACAGTATGATTGAAAATCAATTACATTTCATTTTGTACATTCTGATAAAAGAGAATTATTAATTTTTTATTATATATTATACACTGGAATCAATTATTATTGGTATGAAAGAAAGAAAATCTATAATTTAGAATTCTCTGCGATGATACTTATCAGGGTCAAAATATGATGTTACAACGACGCGATTATTGAATTTTCGTCCTGTAAGAGTCTGCTGTGCTTTCTGGCAATCAATCACGCTATTAAATTCGACAAATACCTATAACATAGAAAACTCATTAGCATAATTTCATAAATCAGAAGAAATTAGGACTTTATTATATTAAAATACATACTTTCCCACATCCAGGTACGTCAACACCTTCTATAGGTCTAGGTATTTCCACAGATCGAACCACACCATATTTATTACATTCTTCTTTAATATCTTCTAAGATATCTTCATATTCTTCTTCTTCCATTAATTCTTCAGGAGTTACCATATTTAGCAAACACAGAACCTATATATATGTAATAATATATTTTTATTAATGCAATTTTGTATAATATGCAATAAAATATATTAAATGTAATATATTTACATTTTAACTGAATTAGATATATAACTTATCTTACCTCAGTAGCTGGTCCACTTGTGCCTACCATTGATAATCCAGGCACCTGGATTTGAACTGGAGCTTGTGCACCAATCATAGGGTTCTTGGCACCTACGCTAGCTCGTTGCACTATCAGTTTTTTGTCTCCCAGCTGCATTCCATTTAATCCAGCTATTGCTTGGTCAGTCATTGACACATCAACATACTCGCAGAATGCATAACCCTTGGATAGACCTGTAGCTGAATCCTTAACTAGATTGAATGCTCTTAGTTGCCCAAAGCTCATCAGTAACTCCTTCACCTGTATTGTAAAAATAACATTACTTATTTAGTCATATAATATCAACAATTGAAATTCATATAGACTATGCAACTTTTAATTTTATTACACTTTTCAATAAAATTAATAATATTTCTAATTATCAAAATAATATTGTAAATGATAATTTAACACATTCCCTGGATATAGAAAACATGAAAATGTATTTGCCAGATGTTGTTTTGAATAAGTGAATTTAAACATATTTTAAAACTCTATTGATCACCAATTATTCTCCTAATAGTTAATTAATATCATCTTTCTACTACAATCTGCATTTTTTTAACAATGAAGAACTTTATAATATAAATAAAAATATAATTCATATAAATAGTGCAAATAAAGGTAAATATATGTTACAGATAAATATAAACAATAGAAGCACAAATTGCTTTAAATATAAGATTAGCCTAATACAATCAAAATAGCATTGCACTGTAATATACCATAGAAATAAAATTTTTCACGCCTCAAATGAGCAGCACATAAGATGTCTAACTACCTAACGTAAACCATTTACACATAAAATTTCGAAAATGCATAAAACATTTTGGCAGTTAGATACGTGGATGCACGCAAACGTGTTAAGTATCATTACATATTTCACTTTACTTTGTTAATATTAAAAACTATAAAATTGATTTATAATAAAAATATAAAATCGTTAATATTAAATTTTATTAAAAATTTAAAAATAATTGTAAAATAATAAATTAAATTACAATATTATATTTTAAAGCTAATATGAAAGTTGCATAATCCAAAAATAATAAATTTATTATAAATGCATAGATATATTATATTTCGCCTACTCAAATTCCATTTAACATCTTCATATAATGTCTTTCTTACATACAAAAGTTTTACTCCAGTCTGGAACAAATCTTTAACAGTTTTGATCAGAATACTCTTGCTCTTCAAACGTGGTTTTCCCTCACATTTATCTTACTTCTCTCTTAAAAAAACATGTACCTTAAATTTACTTACACCTTTCCATTTCCAAGGAGTACTGAAAACTCAGAAGCAGAGATAACAGCATGTTGCATTCAGTGAAAACTTATTTATCTTCATTTCTAAGAATCAAAACTTTTAAATAATTGTAATCTACATAACAACAATACATAATTGTAAATATATCAATTTATTTTATCAAAATATATGTAAATGTAGCCTGACACATCTTAACTAAGAATATTTAAAATGTTATTGTAATGAGAAGTGTACCTTTGTAAAAACATCAGATTTGTATATTTAGATATTTTTATTATTTAGAAGACTAATGTACAAATATTTCAAATAATTATCGAAGTAGAAGAGAAATTCCTATTAAAGATCTCTAAGAAACATTATAATGTGTTCCCTATTATATTATTTTTTTTAATGAATGAGCAACACGCTATTATCAATGAAAAACTATCTAATTAGAAAACGCACCATTTATTTAGAAGAACCGAGATCTTCAGAAAGGGGGCTGCAAAAGTCGCATAAGCCCAATACGAAGGCATGAAAATGATATAAGTACTTGCCTCGAGGGACTGGGCTAGCCTCTCTCCAGGCAGTGTGGTATTTTGTCATGTTCAGTAGTAGTAGTAGTGGTAGAAGTAGTGGTAGAAGTAGTGGTAGTGGTAAGCAAATGCTTTTGATCGGCGCAACCCTAAGCTAAGAAATGGGGAGAAAGGGCACTGGTATCAGTCCACAGTTACTATATAATAACCAAATGGTTATATTTTTTTGATTGTATTATTCCAACAATGTACCACTTTAATAACACAGTATTAACTTTTTCCGGCGTTTGAAGTTCACATTTACCGACTTTTATTTTTCTTACTTTCTCTTTGCACTTTGTCTTTGTATTAATGCACATTACTGATACTCGAACTTATAAGTTCGTTCGTGTAACCTGTAAACGTAACAAGGCACAAGGACGAAGAGCTGTAAAGCCTGTAAAAGCCTGTAAAGAAAACAGCTGCAAGAGAAAAGATACTCCTGAAAAGAATAGGTGCCAAAAGACTTGGAGCTGTTACCAGATGCACATAAGATTATGTGTTGACCCTGTAATCCCATCAAGACAAAAAACAAAAAAACTGATGTACTAGATAAAATTGATTGATTCGTTTGTTGTAGTCCTAAAAAATCTTTTTGTATGTAATACCACTGCGTGAAAACAGACTCATTTTGTAAGAGTTTCAGATGTAAAAACATGAAGAACCTTTACTTTTGAAGAGTTTTTCACCTAACAATTTCATATAATTATTTTGAGTATAACTATTCCTCTTCTCCCCTCCTACCCCTTCCTTTTCAGTCATTTATTGAAAAATTTCGTATCCCCTTGGCTGGGTCCACGATGTTCCTAGAAAGACTGTAAAAGAAATACGACTGCTGCGACTGCATGCCATCTGAATGCTGCAACGCCTCTAACCAATTCCCTATGCACTATCTAATTACGGCCCTTCGAGAAGAAATACGAGAGACGAAATTCTACATTGCCCTTAAACTTGACCAAACAGACACAAGTGGAATTGGAATTGGAATCACCTAGCTAAATAAAACCTAGACAACGCTGGAATCCAATGGATACACATACATACCTCTGTAGCATTTGAGTAGCTGACACATCTTCGTAAGTTTGATCTCCGCTAAATAGCTAAATACCTATGTAATAATTTAATCCTTTGGTATAACTTACAATGCTGAGAACTAGCATATGTTCAAAGTAATCCTACAGCATTGTTATACAGCGACACAGTTATTTTAATCTCTGATGCCATTTGAATGCACTTAATGTACTTATTAAAGATGTTATAAAAAATATTTTTATAGAAAATAAACAACATGAATTTTAATATATACATAGGCATCAGTGAATAAGAACTGCTTCCAAAGGTGTGCAATTAACAAAACTGTGTTATGGATTTGTTTGCATACCTGTTCTTCGTTCAAATAATTGGGTAAACCACCAATGAAGATCTTGTGTGGAGAATCTATAAAAATAAAATATTACGTTATACTTCACATAACAATAATAAACTTTTTAAGCATGTATAAGAGATACAAGGAGTATGTATAAAACATACCAGGAACCGTACCTGGCACGTTCATACTTGGATTATCAGTCATTCCTGGCATTGGCTGATAATCATGTGGTCTTCTTATTTTTAAGCTCTGTCCTTTGAAATTGATACCATCAAATGCCATAGCTTGTGTTGTTTCATCTATGGAACGGAACTAAAAAATATTTCATAAATGCTTTATCATATAATTATAAAAATTATAAATTCCAAAACCATATTTCCAAGTAAATTTTGTTGTACCTCTAAGAAAGCAAAGTTTTTATCTAAATTGATCTGACACGCTAATACTGGATTTCCAGCAGCCTGAGCAAGACCAGATAGATGCATTTGTTGATTAAAAAACTCCATCATTTCTTCTTCGGTCACACCAAATGGAATGTTTCCTACATAAAGTCTCCTTGCTTGACGAGTTATTGTACTACCAACAACTGGTACAGCTGCTTGTGGTGTATCTGCCACAATATTTGCGGGTATTTGACCAGCAGCTTGCATAGCTTTATACTGTTTTAATTAAAATTAAAATTAGATAAGGATCTTTAAAAAATTCAACTGATTTTAATTACAATTTCAAAATTTTTATGTTACCTGTAATGGAGTAATATGTTCAAACCCAGGTGGTGGAACATCCCAGTAAAGAGATGGCTTCCTTCTCCTAGAACTACGACTCTTTTTAGGTGAGCTACTTCTTTTCCTATCTCTTCGATCTTTAGAACGTGAACGAGAACGTTTTCTACGATCTCTACTACGAGATCTATGTCTCCTATCACGATCTCTGTCCCTATCCCTATCTTTGTCACGGTCTTGACGATCTCGATCTATTAAAAATATAAATACAGATAAATATATACAAAAATTAATACCACATTGTTATTAATAATGAATAACTACTCATGTTCTGAAGAATTTATAAAATATGAAATTTTTATAATTTTTAATATATTTCTTAATAGAACTATTTTATTCAGTATCATATAACTTTTGTATGTATATTAAATTTTCCTATAATTTCATGCATATATTCCCAACTATATACGTATCTCACTTTTAATATACATATATATGCTATATGCATTCATTATCTAAATCTTCAAGACCAAAATTATAATTCTAAAAATCCTAAGTGCATCTTTAATATATAAGAAAGTAAGCAATAGTAATTTTTCTTAAATTTGTTAAATAATGTATGATTATTAAAACAATGTAATATCTCGTATATATATAATGAAAAATGTACCCATAAGAATAGTCTTCGTAGATGCTTATTTTCAGGTTATCGATAAACTCACAAGATCTCGGAAAAAATATTCGAATGTTATTTGATTCACGCTGAAAGTAATTAAATGTTTGGAGGTTTAAAATCTTTCCACAGAGAAATACTAAAAGAAAACACTTTTAGATATGTTTACTACTCTTGTGAGTGTTTCTCCGGCCATTACAATCACCCGACTTATTTACCTGGCTGTAACGCGGGAAGAGTGACGAATAGCACAGTATACTTAACAAAGGTCTCTAAAGAGACCTTTAGAATGCTTACCTCCATTGTAATCTTCGCCCATTTTTCAATTTATTACTTGGAACGCACTTTTATTTTCAAAAAATACTAATATAAATAACACCGAAGCTAACAAATGTCAATTGCTCTTAAAACAAATTTTTATTCTAAAATGGCGATAGGCTAGATAGATGATAACTAGTGAATAATTATCTGATACAATATCTATTTCCAGGTGGCGTAAAGTTCAACCGGAATTGATTTCTTTGGTACATCATTGGAATAAATATTTAAACTTGAATATATTAAATCAACAACTTAATCAACATATGTTATTATTATTATAAATTTATAATAAAAAATTTTGCAATATTGAAACATTATTATAAATGTCTTCTAATCAATTGTAATAAATTTCAATTTATAAGGAAATAAATGTTATTACTATTTTCTTCAATAAAAGATTAAATATTAGCGTAATCTTTAATTCATTGTCTTTTATTAAAATAAAATTACATAATTTATAATTTTAGGAAGTTTAAAAATTGAATAAAAAATTACAACAAAATAAATATTCTAATATACTAAATCGACAAATAAAAACATAACATATATATTTAAAGAATAAAATTATTCTTATTAAACTTTTTACAAGGAACATAATATTAGCTACAATTTAAAAAAAATACTACATTATATTACTAATTATTTATAAATTTATATTATGCTTTTAGATAATTGTTATATATTACAATAAAAATTTTCACATATTTAGTATTTTTAAATTAACATCTTAGAAAATTTTTATTTATAAAAATTTGTGCTGTTTAATTTATTTGATGCTATTGTGAGATTCTCCTAAGCCACCACGAGTGGCGCTTAGATAGCAATCGAGTTTGAATCTCTTGAAGACTATATTAAGTAATGCTATTCTTTGTACATTTCAAAATGTCCTAGATAAACTCGAAATGGAAAAAAATGTGAAATTTGTAGACTTATTTACAAGTTATGATAATATGGAAAATAAAAGAGTATTGGAAGAGCAATTAAGGAAAGCAGCCTGTGTTGGTGATACAGTCCTTGTTCAAGAATTACTTAATTTAGGTGTTGATGTTAACGCACGACACTCTGTTAATGGATGGTATTTCTTTCATAATTTACTATGCAAAACTGTTATTTTTGTTTTACAAATTACTGTAAAATATACAATGACGGATGTAATAATAAAAACTTACAATACCTTTTTCTATTTATACATAATAAATTTAAATTGCCTTGTATCTGAAATGTCAAAACAATATCATAATTAATATTTCTCTTTTAAGGACTCCTTTACATTGGGCATGTAAAAAAGGATCCTTAGATGTAGTTGCTTTGCTCTTAAAAAATGGTGCAGATAAAAATATAAGAACTGAAATTGGAGAAACTTCAGCAATTCTGTGCAATAATCCACAGATTTTACAACTTTTAGATATGCCAACTGATTCTCAAAGAATTTTAAATGAATCAGCAGTTATACCTAAATATATAAAAAATGATTATGTACATGGAACTGTAGATTCAGGAATTACCAAAATAAGAAATAATGGTTTATATCAAGATGGTGAGATATTTGTAATTATATTATTAATTATTATTTTAATTTCTTAAATAAATATTAATAGATCATGATAAAATTATACATTATATACTCTATTTTAGAATTGGTATTAAAAATTCGTGTTGCTGATGCTCCAGACCCAGATTTTATAGAAATTGAGTTATCACAAAGTGATTTATCATATCAAACACTAATTCGGATATGTTGTCAGGAATTAGATATTGATCCCAATCAAATTGTAAAATTAAGAAAACTGCCCAATACCAGATTGAGAAAAGATGAAGATATTCAACGTCTTCAGAACTTTCAAGAAATAGAAGTTGTTACAAATGCTGTAAACACATATAAGTATATGCAAAATACAAATGGTATTTCAAATAGTATTCCAACAATGCCAGTAAATGGGTATCAAAGTATTTCTAAAAAAGATCAGACTATTTTATATTAATTGATAACAAAAATTATTTTCACTTTTTTCATATTTAAGTAAGTGAAGAAAAAAATTAATGTTTAATTAAAATGCAATATATATATATTAAATTTAAAGTGCAATAATTAAGAATTTTTAATATAATGAAAGGTTTATGGTAATAAGTAGAAAAATAATTTTTTAACTTTGTTTACTAGATTTAATAAAGTAATACAAAAATAATTACAATTTTTTATTCGTTTCATTTATTTCTCTCTTGAGAAGAGATCCTTTCTTTCTTTTTTTTTTAACAATAATATCTCCATCAGGAGTAACAGTTACAGCAGCAATTCCAGCCATAGTAGTTAGTTCTCCAGATACATTATGATATGCCTTTGGTCTTTTAGGTTGCACTATTGGCATTTCAACTAAGCATTTATTTTCTAAAACAACAAAAAATATGTTATTGGATATGTACAGCTATAATTAACAATTATAATTTACAAAAATCTAGTGTAAATAAAACTGTTAATTGTACTCAATTAAATCTTACTTAATGTTGTATATATAGGAAGACTAAGACTAGTTGATGTCTTAATTCGAATAGAACGAATATTAGCCCAACCTCCTGGGTAGTTTTTAGACAAATAATTGCATGTTGCTAATATATTTTTCAAAACTTCTTCTTTTTTCATGGAGGTATGTCCAATTTGAATTGTATGAGTATCACCACATGAATGTATTTGCATGACAGTTTTTTTTAAAGCATATTCTATTTCATGCTTTAAATCTTTGCTCTGCATTTTAATAGAAGTCGGTAATTTTCTTTTTCTATAAAATTCTTTTCCCAACAAATGAGACAAATGACCAGCTATTTTTCCATCTACAAGGAAATAATCATAGCTACCAACAAGTTTCCTCTTTAATTCATACTGATCATATTCAGTTTTCACTTGATTCATTGGTATTATACTTTTTATTTTTGTAGAACCATGTTTTCTTAATAAGTTTTCATAGTATTCTACTGTTGGCTCATAATCTTTTCTTCTACCTCTTTGAAGATCACCAACAAAAAGTGCTACTTCATTGTTTGGTGATACTATCGAATGTGGTAACAATCTGAAAAGTAAATTAATCAATAAATAAGTCATTAAAAAATAATCATTAAAATTAAAAATGTACTGAATTCATATATATAACATAATATAACATTATAATTTACTTAAAAAAAAAAAAAAATGTAATTAGTACATCAATTTTTATCTAACTAAAATAATATATATACTTACATTCTCATACATCTTTTTGGAGTTTTAGGTACTCTAATACATGTTACTTGCATGAACACTGGCTGACTTTCACCATCAAACAATGCATTATTATTTTTCAGTTGTTCTTCAGTCAAGTGATAAATGACACTAATACATTGTAGCACATGTTCTTTTGATAAATCACTTAAATTTAAACAATCTGTATTCTCTTCATTATTAATATTATTTACTCTTTTCTGTTTCCGTGATTGTACAATCTTAAAAATTACATTTGTATGTGAAGTAATATTTTTATTGCTTTGTATAATATTATCCCAAGAGTATTTTCTTTTTAGTACCTGTTTTGATACAGTATTACTGTTTATTTCTGTACTCTTTTCATTCTGGGATTTTTTATTTTTTACATGGTTATTAGCTTCTGCAAACTGCACACTATTAAATTTACAAGTACTTTTTTTATGAGGTTGGTGAGATATTGGCTTCTTCGTTGAATTGGTTTCTTCTTGATTACATAATTGTGCATTAACTGACTTTAAATCTCCAAATTTTTCATTTTCTGTACTAACCTGTACAGTTTTTAAATTTTTACTTTTACCTTGTTTTAATCTCTTATTAAATTTATTAAATTTTAAGTTTGAATTTAGCACTATATTTTGTTTTTTTAAACCTCCCGATATTTTCACCGATTTTTTACGGTTTTTAATAGCTTTCGTGGAAGCTACCATCTTTTATATACACGTTAATTGCAATCTACTAACCACATGAGAAAGCGGAAACGGAAAGAATGATTCTTCTCACAATTTTTTTATACTACAGAATTGACCATAGATTATGCGTAAGTGAAGAAGGTTTATTCATTTTGAACTGTTTATGTACAGTAATAATAATTTATTTTCAAATTTCTTAAAAATTATGAAAAATTATTCTCGTATTTATAATATAACTCCTAAGAGTTGTATATGTATGTATGAAATGAAAAAATACTTATGTATTGATACCTAATTAACAAAACAGTTGCATACTAGTTGGCCATGATTTAAATTCATACTGATAGAACCATAATCATATCGGTTAGGAACCATAATATCAATTATAATATTGAACAACAAATAGAAATACATATTTTTAAATTCAAATGAATTGTGTTATATAAAATATTTTGACTTGACTTGACAAATTGAATTGCAGAAAAGTATTTCATAGAAAGTTTAACTTAATTTTTAAATTAAAACAATTTTCAATTTGAAGAGGTATTCATTCATAGTAGGTATAAAATTATTATATAAATATATTTTAAGCAAAATTTATTTATTATTAACATGTAATTTTTATATTATACTTTTATTATGTATTTTTCATATATAATAGTGCTACTTTTAAACAATTTTGTATTAAAATACAATTTTAAATATTTAATAATATATATTTATCATTAATTATATTTACAAAAATATATTTGCATACATTTATAATTAATATATTTAAAAAATAAATAATTTTACATCTATTTTTATTAAGAATATTAATGAATTGAATAAGAACCGCGAAGTTTAAAATTTAAACATACATGTAGTATTTAATGATACACAATAATATTAAATAATATATTTACTGATATAACAAATGATAATATTAATCTCAAAGAAATATAAACTATGAAATATACTTTATTCATTTCACATATTTTTTCTAATTAGTTCAAATTTTTCTAAAAGCCACACAAGGATACAATACTTTATTATTGCTTGGAATAACGTTTGCAACTTACTCCATCGCGAACCGTTACACTTGGTTAACCAAGACAATCGAGATCAACGATCATTTGCAACACACGTCAAAGGTAGCCTCGACTGGTGCTCAGACCTGTTTCTTTCTTCTAAACATCTTCTTTCCATTATTCATCTCGTTATATTTTATTAGTCTTTATATCATCAACAAAAGCTTGCATCGTTTCAGTGTATTGTTATAGCGACACTCGAATAGTATGTCTCATTAACTAAGTAATTTCGTTTCATTTAAGCGATTTGCAATTTCAAAACGGAAAAGTGGCACGGTGAAGAACAAGAACGCAGTTACGACTAAGTGTCGATATGCTTCGGTTAACATTTACCACATTCTATCATCGAAAAAATCGGAAGTACGATGCTCGGAATATCACGATATGTGAAAATATTATTATTTCTATGTATTTGTTCTACGATCTTTTGTACGATTTTTGTTACTTTTCCGAATCTTCTCCGAAAAAGAGTTAATAGGGAAGTATCTGCAAGGAAAACGGACCACCAAGAACAAACAAAGGAAGGTTTAGCAATACTATTAAGAAAACGAAATTATACAAACAGACAGGTACATCCGTTTTTAATTATGTTAAAACTAGTTTGTTGTTATCTTATTACTTTTTATTTAATTACATAAGTATATACATGAAAGAATTTATAACTTTTACGTATCAAAAGTTTTTGAATACAAAATCTTACTTCTGTAAGTATTATAAAAATTCTGCCAATATCTACATAAGATTAATTCGCGCCTTTATTCGTATCAGATCGGTAAGATGTCTTTGCTAGGAAGATGGCTCTTGTCGTCGGAAGGAAGTTTGCCACCACCAATAATAAATAAGAAAAAGGAACCATATTTGATTTTAATTTGGAAACATGGAAAATTCTTGGAACGTAGACACATCAAACGTTTTACAAATAAAAAGTTAATAAAAATATAAAAAAATATCAAAAACATGTTATAATATATAAATATGCAATTATTAATATAACAACATTGTTAAATATTTTAAACTATAATTTTCTTTTAATTTAGGTCTAAATATAATTTTTTCATTTTAGGTTTTCACCATGGAAAAATTGTACAGTAAAACATTGTGTACTGAGTTACCGATCGAAAGATTTAAATATAGCGGACGCAGTTGTGTTTCATTTGCATCTGACACAGAGTATGTTAGAATTACCAACTAGGACTCGATGGAATCAGAGATGGATCTTTTTGACTGATGAATCACCATTGCATACTTTTCTTTATGGAAATCAGGAATTGTTCAAGTATAATGGTTTATTTAACTGGTCGATGACCTATCGAGTGAATAGCGATGTGCCAGTACCTTATGGCAGAACGATTTCTAAATCCTTTATAAATTCACCAGATATCAATTTTTCGAAGGATTTGATAAAAAATTTAAAAACTAAGTTAATTACTATAATGGGTAGCAACTGTGCGGGCACGAATGGACGATGGAATTATGTGAATGAACTAAAATTGATCTTTGGTAATGATCTTGATATATATGGAAAATGTCTAAATGGTAATGTAACCGCATGTCCGGGTCATTTTGACAAAGATTGTTCTGTTTTAAATGCATACAAGTTCTATCTCGCTTTCGAAAACTCAAACTGTAAAGAATACATAACTGAGAAAGTATTTTGGCATGGTTATCACAAATTAGCGATTCCAGTCATAATGGGTGCACCAAGGAAAGATTGTGAAAAATTGCTACCGCCACATTCATTTCTTCACGTTGACGATTTTGCTAATCCGACAGCATTAGCAAATTATATTCGTTATCTTAATCAACACGATGATAAGTATTTCGAATTCCACGAATGGCGTAAATACTATAAAGTAATCAATGAACATGGTTATTTCGGCAGTATTTCGCGACATTATTGTCGTATTTGTGAAGCTCTTCATTATAATTTTCCTGTCGTTAAAGTATATGAAGATATAGAATCATTTTGGAACAAAAAACAAGATTGCATTCTTTGATATTTTAAAGTTTGCTGTGTATTATAGTATTATTGTGAATTAATTTTAATTAATTAATTTTTACATAATAAAAGTAAAAAAGGTTATTTTTTTATTTATAATTGTTTTATGCATATGTTTTGTATTATTTATTATGCAATATTGTAAATAAATTGAGTAAAAAACATTAAATGAATACAAATAATTTATATATAATAGATTTATATAAGTACATAATTAATTAAAAGCTATATATTTCTATATTTATTGGTATATAAGTAAATAGTAAGTAAAAATGTATTACAAATGTAATGATATACAAATATAACAATTTACATAAAACAAAATACTTCATTCATATTATATTATGCTATTTTATTAACAGTTATGTTACACATGCTTCTGTTGTAACAAATTGTTATTGAAAGTAATTAGGTTAGAATGTTTTATTATCTTAATATTGATATCACATGAGTAGTTTAGAATACAAAAATTTTAATCATGTTATGTAACAACATTCAACAATATCTACGTATTTTTTTAAGAAATGATTATAAAATATTATGTTGAAAAAACTTCGAATACGTTTATCATTTGTATAGATTCGTAAATGTTCCAATGAATAATACTGCAACTTCAAAACTCTATTACGTTACCACGGTGTTAAAACAACAATTTTTTGTGAAATGTAGAATTGTTTTTTACCCTTCGTTACGTTATAAAACTAATCTTTCTATAATCATGGCTACAAAATGCTTTAAAGGGTATACTGACCATTACAATGGCGTAACCATTAGCTCAAAAGAAGAATTTTGTACGTCTGAAGTATTCACTCATCGTCTTACAGGTATATAACATAATAACTATTAAAAGAGCTTATAAATCATATTATATTTTATAAAAGTTGAAAAGATTAACCTTAAAATTTTATAAAAGTTTGTATTAAAAAATTAACATATTATAACTTTTATAGCATCTTTACAACAGTGGATACAAAATAAAAAACGTACAATATGGTTTCGTGTCTATTTACCACATTCAGAGTGGATACCATTACTTGTAAAGGAAGGCTTTATATTTCATCATGCCAAACAAGAATATGTTATGCTTTATCGATGGTTAGTTAAGAATGAAGAATGCAATGTTCCACATTATGCACATACAAATTTGGGAATTGGAGGATTTGTATATAATCAGGAGACTAAAGAAATTTTAGTTATCAAAGAAAAATATTCAAATAGAGCAGCTATGTGGAAATTGCCAGGTGGTTATGTGGAACCAGGTAAGCTAATAAATTAATACTTGTATAATTGATGTTTATAAATTAACAAAATACTTTAGTTAATAACGAATTAATAATTTTTCTTATCTTACAGAAGATTCAATATGTTTATTGATAACTTCTTTTTATCAATTTTTCTTATAGGAGAAGATTTGGAAAACGCTGTGAAAAGAGAAATTCTGGAAGAAACTGGTATTCAAACTACTTTTAAATGTATAATAGGCTTTAGACATGTTCATGATTATGCATTTGGATGTTCTGACATATATATGGTTGCTTATTTATCTCCTGTTACTTGTGATATTAAAAAATGTGAAAAAGAAGTTTCTGAATGCAAATGGATGAAGGTATATTCTATTATTTATTCGTCAATTTCTTATTATTATAGCTAATTATTTTTATAGGTAAACGATTATTTAAACCATCCAGAAGTATATGAAAGTAATAAAATAATTGTAAAGAAAATGTTGGAGATTTTCAAACATGGAATGGGAATTGTTGTGGAACATACAATACAACCTGTAACAAACAAACCTAGTTGCATATATAGCATATCCAAAATTAATCTATAGTAGTACCTAAAATAATTAAAATACACATATGAACAATTAATTTTATAGATTGAAATACAAAATGACCTAAAATAATATATATTTTGAAAAAAAAGACAAAAATAAAGTTATTGTTAAGATTATGAAATATATCAAAATTTATTAAGAAGTTATTTAATATATTAAATATACGCTTTAAATTAGTTAACAGTAAAATGTCAATTATCTGAAATAATTGGAAAACAAATTTGTTCAAATAATCAGTTTGAAAGAAGCAAATTTTTAATTACATTATAAATTGAATAGAAATTAAATAATTCTCATATATAAATGTTTTTTATATGAAAGAATACATATATAATAAGAAAAATGTAAAATAGAAAATAAATGACATGTTTTCAGATATTGCGAAGTTTTGAATTGCCCAAAATATAGACATTTATACAACATCTATTCCTTTTTAATGTTCTACCCATTGTAATGCATAAATCAAACTTTGCATAATCGATGTTTAAATAATCGACGGTCTATTGTATATATATTTTCATTATTTTTCATTATTTTCAATTATTTTTTTAATTAACAATTGAAATACAATACTATAATTATTAAAAGCAATAGATTAAACAAAAATTCTAAATATATTTTTAGATTCAGTTATAATATTATCTAAGTACATGTATATATATAATTATAAAAATTATTGGATTATAGTAAAATACAATTACAGTAACAAAGACGAAATACATAACATAAAAATAATATATTGCGGCAATAGATATAAGAAATAAAAACGTATACACAATTATGTTTTGACATAATTTATTACATATTACTAAAATTATAAAAAATTATAAAAAAAATTTTTTTAATTCACAAAAGAAAAAGATTGTAAATAAATGTTATAATATTTGAAAATAAATATTTATTAAAATTACTTTCTTACTAAACATTTATTGAAAATTTGGCTTTATGTTAAAAGGTAGCTTGCTTCACTTTTGTTTATAGGTATCTCGTTACTCGTAAGCTATATGCTATCCCTTCCCTTATCACCGTCCCCTCTTTAGCTACTCGTCTCTTCTGTTATGTGCATCAATGAATCGCGTAGCCCACGTTTTAAGAATACATATGTGTGTGCATACTATCCGTCTGTAAAAAAGATGTCGGTTGCATATGAAAGTAAGCACATATAGCGGTTGAGAGGACACCGGTAAGGTAATGGTGGGAGTAGTATAGTCACGACCGGAAAGATGTTGCTCAGGCCTGCTTTAGTTAATGATTGACACGTTCGTAAGGAAAACGGAAGAACGTATATTTTGTTGAGGTGAAGGTTAACAATATTATTTGTTAGTCAATTTGTCTATGATTCGACTAATATTTTCTGTAAGAAATATTATTTGAATTTTTACTTTTTATATATATTTTTCTATATAGCATATCTCAACACTTACTGGTATCTCACCACTGGCCTTCTCAACTTATTAATCTTACAGTTTTTAAATTTTATCATTATATCTGCTAGTTGATCAATCATTGTTAATTTTATGTTTGTATCTTTGGCAGTCAATTCTTTGATTACAGATTTTACATACAGTGCCTCTTTAGTAACTTAAGTAACTACTACGAATTCAGCTTCAGTGCTTGCTAAAATTACAATCTATTATTTTTTACCACTCTAGCTCTTCGATCCTCCTGCATATATTATTACTACACTTGTTGTATTCTTCCTGGATTCAGTATCTCCTACAAAATCTGAGTCAGTGTAACACACCAAATCTTCCTTTCTTGATGGTGAATCTGACTTGTTCTTGTGGTACGTTACTCCTACTTACGTTACATTACGTTACTCCTTATTAGATTGCTTTTATAATAACAAAATATTTTCTTCACATTCCATACGTCTTTGTTTATTCTTTCTTTCACATATCTGATCATGTAATTTATGGTGTATACTGTATTTAGTTGCGTTAAATTGTTTACATATAACAGACTCTCAATACTTTCTGGAATATTTTTTCCTTTTCTCTTCTACCTCTTTTTTGACCTTCATTAATTGGGATGTTTGTACCCTTTACTTCTTTCATGTGATATTGTTTCAGCATTACATTTATGTAAGCTATCTGCTTCAATGTTAGTGTATTCTTCTTCTTTTCCAACTTAATTCCTAAAATAGATTCTGGTTTATCATCTATGGTAATTTTAAAACACTTACCAATTTTTCTTTCTGCCCTATCACTATTCTGCTATCTACACATAATATAAATATTATATCTTCTCTTCTGTTCATAAAAACACATGGCTTTGTCTCTGTTGGTTCAAGGATTAATTTCCTCAGGGATTCTTTAAATTTTTGATTCCAAGTCAGTGGGGTCTGTTTAAATTGTACATAGCCTTTTCAGTCTATATATCTTATTCTCATTTTCCTTGTACCCTTCAGGAATCTTTATATAAATTTCTTCTTTCAAGTCACTATTTCATATACGGTTGCTTTTACTGAATGCCATGATTTGTTTTTCTCCTGTCAAGGCTAGACATTCTGTAGTAGTCTTTTTCATATTTTTGTTTGCAACCTCTTATCATTAATTTTGCTTTAAATTTGCTATTTATTGAAACTTTTAGTACTCCATTTTGTTATAAGAATTCTTTTTCTTACTGCTTCCTCTTTGCTGACTGCTTTCTATACATTTTTTGCAATGATTTTTTATTACATCTTTCCACTTTTGTTTCTATAGACCATACACTGCTTGCTCATATGTCAGATAGGCTTATCCTTCATATCTCTGTGGATATGTTTTCTTTCTCTATAATTTCCTTAACATTTCTTCCTTTGGCTTCCCTTGTTCATTTTTTCCATCTCCTGTATGAATTTCTTTAAGATGTTCTTCTTTCTCTTGTTCTATTCTTTTCTTGTTTCCTTCTTCTGTTTTGTTGTCTTGTATTTCTATAGTTCCATTATATGGGAAAACCCATGTCACAATCACTGTTTTCCCCTGTGGATTCTTCTGTGGGACCTTCTCAAATTTTGCATCTCTGGCCAGTATTACTGTTCTTTTTTCCATATCCGACAATCTATAGCCATTTGATGTATACCCAACAAACTTGTATTTTATGACTTCTTGAATGTAATTTCTTCAGGGGTTCCAGTATCTTCGTGTACACATTGGTCCTAAACATTTGAATTCCTTTTAAATTTGATACTTTATCTGTCCAATTTTTTATTGGAATCTTCTTTTTATCAGCAATGGATGATCTATTGACCAAGTACATTGCTGTATGGCTGTGTGGCTTCTCTCCACATTTCTTTACTTAAGAGTTGAATATCAATGCCCTAGTTTTTTCCATGTGTAGTTGTGTACGGAATATCATACAGTCTAATTCTATTCTCCTCTTTTTTTGTCCATTCCAGCACTATGTTGTTAATATATTCACACCCGCGTTATCACATCTTATTTTCGAAACTCCATCATGCCTCTGTTTTATTCACAAATTCCATAAGTGAAGTATCATAGTTATTATTTTCTTTACATTCGCATCTTTTGTAATCCATTGCTTGATTATTTTTTTTTATCTTGTTTCTTTCGTTACTAAGTAACTACACCGAAATCATGAGTATTTAGAATTATTTCTGTCTGAAATTTCCACAGGGAGAAACTGTCGGCATCAGTTAGTTTTTCCATTTGTTGCAGTTTCTTTGAACTTATGTTGCTCATCTCTGAGGTTTTTATTGCCTTATGCTTTATAATCTTCTTTTATTCTACTATGTGTTTCGACTGAATTTTCTTGAACTTTCCGTTATGGTTTTATAACCTTCACAGCGTGTTTACCACGTGTTCTGGACGCATAACCTGTTGCTTTTTATTTATATGTTTATCTATATAGTGTTCACACTGTTTAACAGGACTATATGATTGCACTTCTTTATAACTTAGTTTGAATATTATATTTGTTATCTTTGTAACTATAAAACTAAATCTCACTCTCTCTCATCCGTCTTATCCAACATCACATACTATTCTCAAACATCTGTCACATGCATACCGACTCATACCGCTTTTCAGTGTTGCCAACCCATGAAATGCCTGAATTACTGTCTTCATGAATAATTCGACGAGAATTCATATGTAGAAGAGTGTTTAATACGGCACAAGATTTGTTGCCAAGATGAGTAAGATGTATACAACTGCCAACCTCTCTGACAAAGAGTTAAAGGAAGAAGGAAATCGTCTTTTCAATCTTCACAAGTATGAGGATGCTGCGTACTGCTACACCAAAGCAATTGTGAGTGTCACTATGAATCTATGCAGGCAAGTTACGACATTGCATTTCATTCCTGCAGATTAAAAATCCAACTCAAGCGCTATACTTTACCAATCGAGCACTGTGTAACCTAAAATTGAAACGATGGGAATCATCCTGTCTAGACTGCAGACGTGCTCTTGATATTGATCCATGCCTGGTGAAAGGACATTTTTTCTTGGGTTTAGCTCTTCTTGAAATGGAACACATTGATGAAGCTGTTAAACGTTTACAAAGAGGTACATACCTATGTTCTTGTTTAAGGATTTCACTGGCTTCGAACTGTAATAGTATTATAAAATATTTCACTATTATCTTATAATTTTCATAAAATGGTTACAAATTATATTAATCATATTTTTTTGCACTACTTAATTATAATTAATGTTTATGATTTAACCATTTTATTTATTTTATGCAATTATGATTAAACATTGTATATTTAAGTGGTAATTTATGTAATATTTCCTTCTGTGAAGGATTTTATTATATATTTATTAATATATTCTCGTGATATACCTATTTGTGTATACTTATTCGTCTTCAAAGAGATTTTACTTCATTATTTAACAATTTAAAATTATACATAACAGTTTTAATGCTATTATATAAATCCTAATATGCCTATTTTGAAGTTTTTTGTGATTATTCTTTTTTATGGTATTCATGATTTTTATGGCAATCTGAAACTTATCCTTCACGTGGTAACACATCAAACAACAACATAGCTGTGGATTTGGCCAAAGAGCAAAAGTTAAATTATGGAGATGATATGACCAGCATTTTAAGGCAAGCACGAAAACGTTGTTTCCAATTGAAAGAAGAACAACGAATTATTCAAGATATCGAATTACAATCATATCTGAATCAATTGATAGTAGAAGATGCTGAACGAAGTTTAGCTGAATTAATGGAACAAGAAGGAGCTAAAGATGCAGATGGTGCAACTGAAGGAGAGACCTCATCTATTGAATTTATGAGAAAAAAAGAAGAAATAGAAGAAAAAAGAGATACGTATATGGCTCACCTTAATGATTTATTTGCAAAAGTGGATGAAAGAAGAAGGGTAAGTTTATATTTATTGTTTTCAAAATTTTTAATTATATACGAATAAAAGTAATTATATTACATTTGCATTTTTTATGAATATGTGGAGTAGAAAAGGGAAGTACCTGATTATTTATGCGGAAAAATTAGTTTTGAAATTTTACAAGAACCTGTAATTACACCAAGTGGAATTACATATGAACGGAAAGACATTGAAGAACATTTACAAAGGGTGGGACACTTTGACCCAGTAACTAGAGTTCGGTTAACTCAGGATCAGTTAATCCCCAACCTAGCAATGAAGGAAGTAGTAGATACATTTTTGCAAGAAAATGAGTGGGCATTATATTATTAATATGTAAAATTAGGATATTGCTGTATTTTTATGATAAATAATTGCATATATCATGATTATTTTTGGGTCTTGTTAATTTACATAAATGTGCACATCATTACCTCGTAAACAGTAAATAGATCACATATTTATATGAAATTTAATTCAGTCCTTTTCTATCTTAATTGAATATATCTAGTTTATTATTTGAACAGTCATTGATTAATTAAATAAAATTAAAAAATAAAAATTAAGATTAAAGTTAAAATGTAATAAAAATAAAAAATTAAAGTGTTAAAAAATATAGGTCATGTAAGAATGTATATCTTGAATACATAATTGAATGTATATCTAATGAATGAACTGTATATCTTTTTTGATATATAATAAATTTATTGTTTGATGTATAATGAAATATTTAATATTTTCTACTTATTTATACAGCTGTTTAGTAAAAAAACAATAATTTATGGTAAGCATTTTCAACTAATGATTTCTATTGATACAAATTTTTGTGATCACGTTGTGCTGTAGTCATTATAAGGAACAAACTGGCAAAAAGAACTATGGGACACAACTGAATCATTCTTTTTGAAAAAGAATATTAAAGTTTTAATAATTTTTGAATTAAGTTTAAAGGAAATATGTTCATATTTTGTTGCTCATGGACAACTCAAAAGTGAATGACACCGTTTAACAAATTTTAACTTTTTCTCAAATCTGCAATATTCATTGAGTAAGTCATGTAGAGTTTATCTACCTGAATACGAATTCGTAAACGAAATTACCCTGTCACCCTCAGATTTTGAAAAATGAATTTTTCTAAAAGCGCACAATTTTTTGCTAAAATAAAGAATTATACGAAAACTAAACAAATTAGGTGGTTCGTTCTGATCTTAAAAGTTAGATGAGAATTTCCCGAGTTTTTCCATAGTCATAATTATAATTATTTGTGCTTTTGAATAATTGCAATTTATCATCGAAATTTAAAAATAAGCCGCCGACTGCATTTTCTATACACTTATCCAGCATAAAGTAGCTATACGGTATTGTATTCTGTAGACCTTTCTGAAAAAGAAATCATGGAACAGAATTGTCAAAGCAGGTTGAAATTCAAATAGATCGAGAAGATGTTCGTCAGTAACGTGTATACGAACTTTTACCACTACGCAATCACTGCTCGCTTGGCTAGACCCGGCAGTGCCGTAGCTATGTGTAATTCGTATACTAAATACAATGGAGCTAATATATAAGAGTCTACGAAAAAAAGAAAATACAATTCGTTATAATTTTACAGACAAATGACAAAGGTGTAATATATAATGAATCTTTTCTTTGTATTAACAACCATGTTACTTATTCATTGTTTTAATCTCCGTTTGTGATTTTTATGTTGGTCAAATTCTAAATAATCAATAATACATTAATTAATAATACAGATATTATTGAAGATAAACTGTTAAAATGAATAGTAAATATTATTTACGCACATTTATTGTATGTTCTTTTATGTTACTTTAAAAGTAACATGGAATAAAAAAAAGAATATCTAAAATATGTTGCGAATATTGTTAATAAATAAACTCCATACGCCCCTAATGCAACCCGTTGATACGGCATCAATTCCTTCAATAAGATGGACAAGGATAAAAAAGGGATTCAAACGATAAGCGCAATCTATGATTTTGGACCAAATGTTCCGAAATTAATTAAGTAATAGGAACATAGAATGTGCAAGGAGGTCATCTGAACCTCGTCACGTGATAGACAAGGACAGTTCATAAATTAATCTCAGAAATTGAGTAATTTATTAATTTTCCATTGTCGGAGCCCTTCTATCCTTTTCTAACCGCTCTCTGTCCTTGTTTGTCACGTGACGAGCTCTTCGACGACCTCCTCGCTTATCTGTGATCCTATTACCGAACTCGAGTTTCGAGTCCAAAATCATAAATGGTACTGATCTCACTCGACAGTTTACTAACTCTGACTATGTGCTTCTGATACATTTGCGACAAATTAATTCGGCAGTGGAAAATTAACAAATTATTCGATTTCTGCAATGAATTTATCAATTTTTATAATTGCATTGTAAAGACGTATCCTTAAAAAGCTTTCTAATATAATTTTGTAAATAAATTTCTTGTTAATTAATTAATTATTAGTAATTATTACACTGAGTTTTTGAACTGATACCGAAGATATTAATAGTTTGTCATTAATTAGCTTTTAAACAATTAATTTATGAATTACACTACTTTTTGAACAGTGTTGTACTTGTTTCATTGCATTGCATTGCATAAATCAAATAATGTGAATTCTGGAATTATTACAACTTTAAAATCATTTTCCAATAATGTTAAATGAATAATGAGTAAAACATGATTGATTAAAAAAAAATTTGACTTCGTAAAAATTGATCAGAGACAATTTTGCCTCTACTTTTTATATAGATCTTCATTGATTCGAGAGTTTAGAAATCCACTATGAAAATTGTGACATAATTTTGAAACACTCTGTATGTAATTCTCATTGTAGTTATTTTATTATATTACACGTCCTCAAAAAATAAATACTTTTACACAAATATGATATACGATAGTGGTATCCACTTATATGTCCTTCGATTAACATCCAGTGTGAATATTTATCCCGGGAAGTTTATTTTAAAAATTGATCGATTGTGATTTACAGTCTTATTCTTACTCAAATCCGCCTCCAATTCCAGAAAACGGTAAGGATAACTCATGGACATTTAAGTGGTCACTCTGACACTATTATATTACATAATTTTTACATGCACGAAAAGTTGATGTATAGCATAAACATTTTATGTCGAGACGATTAATTCCACTTCTCTCTTTTTCACATAATCGAGATGATAACAACAACTCCAGCTACAATAGGTGGCATATAATATTGATAAAAAGAGGGATGAGTTGCTGCTCCCATTAAAAGTACAACCCAACCTAGGAAACATAATATACTTGATAATATTTGAGAATTGCTCTTGCGAATATTAAGAGGAAGTTGTACCGATCCCATTGTACTACATGTTACTAAAACTGTCCAGCTTTGAAGTAACAAAGGATCTTCAGTAGAAATTGTCATATTATAACTGAAACAAATTTTCAGGTATATAGCAATAATTTAGTAATTGAGTTTCTAGTTTTCTACAATAATTTAATTACAAACCTGAAATTTTTTGCCCAAACAAGTACAGTTGGTATAGCTGGAATAGCAGTAAAACACCAAAGTGTGAAAAGAATAAGATGATTGAATATTTTTTGTCTTGTGTTCTCATGATCTTCAGAATAAACTTTTGGGGTTTTAAATTGTCGTATCCAATTAAAATGTTGTAATGAAGCTATTAATAATTTTTCTAAATAATCTTCATACATTTTCGTCAAATTTAAAAAATACAGAAAAAGTGAAATGAACATAGCTAAAGCTCCACAAGTTGCTGGTATTAAGGATAAAACTAAAATTGCAGTAATAAATGGTATCTGATTTAATCCTTCTAGCAACCAATCTGACCATGTTGTTGAAAAAGTTATTGCACGTGCTAGAAATCTAGAAAAATTGATAAATTTAATCATAGAAAATTTGATGTGATATAAACACATATATTAATATAATTAATTTTCTTACCTAACAGCAATACCATGAGCTACTGAACCAAGGAATATAATGGAACAGCATAGTCCAATAATGAATACACAAATAATTGCCAAGGCAATTAAACATTCAAATATTAAATTATAACAAAATGAGAGAAATATGGTAATTACAATTATTGGAGTTTGTTTGTGGCCATGGTTAATCCTTGTAGATAAAAATAGTAAGAGTAAGCTAATAATTGTTGTATATAACAGATACCAGCGGTCTCTTACAGTACAAGATATTCGATCTATAATCCCACCTTCTTGAATATTAATTACATATGAACATGCAGGATCTAGAGTTATTCTTAAGTTTGGAAAAATGTCGGGATACTTATATTTAGTTTGAATTTTCATTGTTTTTGGCCCATCATCACTAAAATATTAAAATTTTTCTTTACACTATTTTAAAAATACAAAAGAAATTTATCTTTCTTATACTCACATGACTGTAAAAATTTGAATTTGTGTAACTCCAATACTCCATGGTTCTAATAATTCAACTATTGCGTGATGTTTTGGATCTGTACATTCAGATGCTTTAAGTTCAACTGCTAAGACATTCACAGTGTTATCAAAATTGACATAATATCTAATATGTCCAAGATTTGATTTTTTGATTTGTGGTATTACAAATAAATTTTTTAACAAAGGTAAATTACTTTTGATAGGTATAACTCTTGTATCATAAGAATACAAATCAACATTTACTGAAATATAGTTTTTTAAACTATCTGGTGTAATTCTTACTATAATATGTGTTACATCAGGGTATTTTATTTCTTGAAAATTTAAGTCAACAATTTTTCTTATACGATGTGACGGATCGGGTAAAATTCTTGTTCTATTTGTCAAATTCCATCCCCAGTTGCTAAATTAAATGTTGTATGTTTATAATAATATCTCGATAAATATAATAAATAATGATAACATAATATTACCAAACTCTTGATTGTTGTTGTATATAAGAGGCTGTACATGCAAATAACCAATCCTTGGATTCTAAATTTGTAGTGTCAATAGTTAAATGGTCTGGTTGTCCATTTAATCTAATCATAACATAAATACAGGATGTCTTCTTAGATAAATTTTTGTTAGTCCATGTATAGTGCCTTTGAATATTCTCAATCCATTCACCACCAGGTTCAAATTGTATTGTTTCTTTATGAGAATATAATTTTTTTCCAGAAGTACGCTATAAAATTAATTTTAATTTAAATGCACTTATATATTAAATTACATTAAAAAACTTTTCTTACATGATGGAAATGATATGACAATGCTTGCATTCTTTCATTAGCTGTAGAAAAAATTTTAGCTGGTTTTTGAGTATAATCAACAGAGTCAAACAGTGAACGCACAACAGATAGCATTAACTGTTTACACCACAAAATACTTAGATGATCTGTGGATTTCCAAACACCTGGCATAGTATTAGAAATAACATTAAAATCTGCTGTAGAATCAAAAATTTGTGTTGAAGTTATAAGTGTATCTCGTGGTCCACCTCCTATTGATATTACACTAGTTCCTGCATCTTTTATTTCACTTAAACGTTTTTCTAAATTTTTGTAATAATTGGCAAAAGTATGGTCTAATACTAAAGTGGGAATATGAGGAGTAGCTAAAGTAATAATGATACTTGCAACACTAGCATTTACATTTGGTGTCATTAAAAGAGAACCTTTAGCTATAATACCTCCCTGAAAAGACAAAAACAATATTTTAATATCTTTACTAAAATAAGTATAATATTATTATATTTACCATTGAGTGTCCTATAAGAATAATGCTATCCATATTAGTTTTATATAAACTTAATATTTTTTTTATACAGTATGAAACATATACTGTCTCTTCCATTAGTACACCTTAAATCAATCAGTAAATTACTATTTATTCCTTTTAATTTCTTAAATAAAATAGAAATAAGAATTGATTACTTAGTAAAATTACTTGTTTAATTTATACCTCCATATAAAGCAGAATAATCCTTGCCTAATGATACAGTAAAATAATCAAAATGAAATGAAGTTCGGTCCTTTAAACTTTTCCTTAAACTCACAGAAGCAAGAGACCTTACTAAAAATAATATAAATATTAATAATAATACAATTCAAAGTATAAAAACATTTTTAATAGTTTTTAAACACCTTGTTCATGAGATCCAAGATTACCAGGTATAAAAAGAACTGGTATTCCTGAGAAGTACATCCTTCTAAGTTTCTCAGTAATAAAACCTTCTCCATATGCATATAATCCATATCTTCGATATTGTTCTTCTATTTCATTATTTAAGGAGATTCTCTAATATTTATAATAAATGTTTTATATTATATAAATCTAATATATATACACAAATATTAATGTCAATAACTATTATAAGTAATATTTTTTAATTTATGATTGCTAAATTTCAATAGAATTAATAAATCATAAAAATTAACAAACAGTTTTATAAATTTTGTACTTGCTATTATAATAATTTATTACAATAATTTATTGTTATTATATGTAGAAATTATTAATATTACATGATTAGTATAATTTCACATAGCAATTTATCAATAATAATATTTATTATTATAAATACAGCTATATTTAAAAGAGTTTAAAATAAAATAAGTAAGTATTTATTTCCTTTCTATTGATTAAAAAATTTGATTTAAGGATATACGTCACGTACCACATATTGTGGATATTCAAACATATATGTCATGTCACACGTATTTTCTTCAAAATCCGTAACATAACGAGCAGCTCCAAGCATATAAAATAAAAGACATAACATTAAAAGTAGGAATACCGTGATATAAAATAATATACATTTTGTTTGAAACATTTTTTTGTGTAATAAACTCTTAAATCATTTGAATGAAAGTAGACATTACTATTTTGATGCAAAGATTAAAATCATATTAGGTATCAACTATTATGTTTAATGTAATGTGTTTATGTCATGATATAAAAGAATATAAAATTAAAAGAAAGATAATGAATAAAATGAGATATATTTGAGCCGCACAGTTAGGTTATGGCACAACAAAATTGAAGTTAATTATACTATGTGTATATATTGAGATTACTACGTTATCCTATCATAAAAATATATTTTAAAAAAAAGATTAAATGTATATATTTTAATGCAAATTATTAAAATATAAATTAAATAATCGATATTTTTTTATGTAGTTTATTTAGCTAATAATTATAAATTTTCCAAATTTAGAACCATACGAATTTTGTAGTATTTCGTATATACAAAAATTTATGTTAGGAAAATTTAATTTCAGAATAGAAGATAAATTGAAATATACATATAATAAAAATCATTTAACGAAAGTTATTTATCAATCATTACAGATTTTATAAAAATGAATAAAGAATGTACTTGTGAGAATGTCACGAACTTTAAAGTGAAAGGCTGATTCGTTTGTACTCGATTAGCATTAAAAGAATATATCGATTTATCACGCATACTATATAATTTACAATTTGCGTAATTTTACTGTATTTCATTATATTGTTTAAATATATTGTATGGATATAAAATGAAAAAATATACACTAAAAAAGTATACTATTATAAACAAGTTATGTTTATTTTAAAAAATGTCATTTTGAAGTATATAAAATTTATTGCGCGTTTTGATATATGTATATGGCTTTATAAAAATTGGAGTAAGATAATGGATTACAAGATACAGTTTCATACAATTTTGTGTTTCTTCAACTCATATGTTTTGTAAATTTCTACTCATAAATATATATTTCATTTCAGGTGGTTTATAACAAAAATTATTAAAAACAAACTTTTATCCCGTATTTTTTCTTTTTTTAAGTAACTGATCATGATTGTTAAGCTACATTTTGGATAAGAATTTTATAATTAGATTTGTGAAAACAATATTTCAAGTAATATTTAAATTAATAATATTTGGACACTTTTTATCACAAATTTTCGAATATTACATTGTCCAAATAATTTAATTTTTAGTGTATATAAAATTATGAACATATTAGAGTAAATAAGTTTGTTCTTTTAACATAGGATATTTGTAAATGATGAGTTTTTATTATTACAAAAATAAAAAAATGTTTAATCAGTAGCATCTCCCAATGACACATTAATGAGTTCTTTTACTGTCTCTACACCACAGTCAGCAATTACAACATCTTTTATTGGTTTATCTCGAGTATCAGTGTTTACATTTTCAATTTTTCTTACTACATCCTGCAAAATTATTTTTATAAGAAATATTTACTAAAACACATACTGCAATAGATTATATCTCAATAATATTACATACCATTCCCTTAATTACTTTACCAAATACAACATGTCTACCATCAAGCCATGAAGTTTGCTTCAGAGTAATGAAGAATTGAGAACCATTAGTGTTTTTTCCAGCATTTGCCATAGATAACCACCCAGCACCATAATGATTCAATTTGAAATTTTCATCATCAAAGCGAGCTCCATAAATACTGCGTCCTAATATATAAAATTCAAGTAAAAATTATTTAGTAATATTATACACAATTGTTAATAGTTATGAAATACCTTAAGTATAAAATATTTTATAATATTTTATTTAATAAAATTTGAAAATTTTATCAAACTATGATACTAAATAAAATGTAATATATTTTCCAAATTAAACAATATCATAATATCAAACCTCCAGTTCCATCTCCCTTTGTAAAATCACCTCCTTGAATCATAAATTCACGAATGATCCTATGGAATTTACTACCTTTATATCCTTCTCCTTGAGGTCTTTTAGATAATTCAATAAAATTTGTAACTGTTATTGGAACTGTTTCACCAAAAAGTCCAATTTCAATTCTTCCTTCGTATTTACCATCAATGTTAATATCAAACCATACCTACATATATGAATTAAGTTATTGTTTTAAAATTTCAAAGATCTATACAAAATTTAAATTATTTTTTAATATATTTTTATATATATTAAAAAATTGTATACATAAATAAGAAATTAATGTATCAAATTTATGTCATCAAATCTTATTTTTGTCCACTTTAATGGAAAAGAAATTTTTTATTAATATATCTGATACCGTGTATCGGCATAATCAATTTACTTACCTTATCTGTTATTTTATTTTCATCAGCACTACTACTTGAGCAAAAAGTTAACAGGATTCCCACTAATAAAAACGATTTCATTATTAATAAAAAAGATTTTAATTGACCACAAATGGAATTGATCATACAAGGACTTTTTAATAACTGCGCTTTGTCAGAGTGGAACATAATCGAACTTGGATTCCTTGCGCATGCGCAAAGGTTAGAAATGTGGAACCATATGATTGGTTACATTCTTCTCGTAACAACGTAAACTGTAAGGACTCAGAATTGCGAAATATGTTATCAATTTAACAACAAAATTAAAATTGTCTATGATTATCTAATAATTTTTACCAATATCTTTTTACAATAATTTTTACAATAATTGTACAATTTTTTAGAATTTGTACATATCTACTCATAGTTATATGAAACAAGATGGAAATAAATTTATATTCACAGTTTATTTCATTCCATTGTTAGTTAGTTAGTAAAAGTTTAAGGAAATTTTTAACATTATAAATATATTCGTTATAATATTTCGCTATATACACATGAAGAAGTATAAAAATTGTTTTACGTAATTTAGTAGTTAAATTTAATATACTTTGGTTATCATAAAATTGCAAAGAATTAAAAGTTGTCAAATAAATAGAATAATAATATATTCTAATTAATCACGTTTAGTAGCAATAAAAGTCAGCAATCAGTTATTCTTTCACTACATTCCAAAATTAGTCATAAAGCTTTTACTTGATCATAAATTTATTCCAATTAAATGAGTGATTAAATGAGTCTTGTTGATCCAATAAGTACAAGACAAACGTATTTACGTAATCAACTGCTTAGAAAATTCGATAAAAATTCGATTATCGATTAAGTATTTTCGATATTCTATTAATGCTTATTTCAAGTAGTAAGAGACGTTAACCGGTATCGCGTGTTTTGCAAATAAATATAAGTTTGGCGTTATTTCTTAGTAGTTCTAATGACTATTGAAACTTTTGAAAATAAGGTACGTATCTTCCAATAAAAGTTAGTTTTAAAACTAAATTATGTTATGTTGTAATAGAACAAAATATAATGGAATAAAATCTTACTTCAATTTCACCAATTCATTAAATGAGTTTGCATTTTTTTTTTTTACTGTTTATTGTATATTCATAACATGTGTTTATTTGACAAATAAAGTACTAAATTTTGAATTTTAATATTTAATATTTTTTGTTATTAATAACGTTTACATTTTTAATAAATATTGTGTATTTAATATTGTGAATTGAAAATTATTACATTTTTTATTGGGACTAAAATTCATTTTTGTATATAATAAAATTAATCCTTAATTGTTTAATGCAAAGTGAATTATATACTTTTATACGTTTTTAAACATTATTTTTTTAAAGAATCATAATATATTATGATGAATATGTTTATGAAACTTAAATTTGAATAATTTCTTGGATTTTTTTGAAGATGGAGGATGAATCTGTTCAATCAGGAACTCAAGCTGATTTTATTAAAGAAGAATTGAACTTTGATGTAAATCCAAATGAATCAATGACAAAAGCAGCTTTAAATGAACATCCACCTGAAGAGTGGATAGATATTTTAGGAAATGGACAGCTTAAAATGAAAGTTATAAAAAGTGGTAAAGATGGAACACGCCCAAATAGATCTGATATTTGTATTTTAAAAATTATTGGAAAGTTGAAAGATGGTACAATTGTTGAAGAATATGAAGATCTCAAAATTCAATTAGGTGATGTTGAAGTGATTCAGGTATCAAATGGATTTTTTATTTTTGGAATCAATATCAATACTTTAAAAATATAATTATGTTAATTATTCATAGTATTAAATATATTATTATTGACATAAAAGGTAACATAATAATGTATTATTTCTTTTGTAAAAAAAATTGTTAATACTTAATATAGTGAAAATTTATTTATTATGTTATTTAACTATAGGGATTAGATTTAGCAATTGCATTAATGAATGTGAATGAAGTTGCTGAAATTGAGGTTGATCCAAGATTTGCTTATGGTTCTCTAGGAAAAGAACCAAATATTCCACCAAATACTACTATTTTATATACAGTTGAATTAAAATCTAGTAAATTAGGAGAAGAATTAGAAACTCTTAATATGAATCAACGAAAAGAAATTGGGTAAGTACTTTGTATTAAGTAATTGTTAATGTCACTTGAACTTGTGATTGCTTACATATCTTTATTTTTCATGAAGTAATAAAAAACGAGAACGTGGAAACTGGTGGTTTACACGTAATGAACCAACATTGGCAATTCAATGTTATCGAAGAGCATTAGAATTTTTGTTACAAACGGAAAGTCGTACACCTTATCAAAATGAGGTAGAAGATACTATAACTGATGCAGAATTACAGGCTTTATTAGAGGATCGTATGAAAGTATATAATAACTTAGCAGCTGCACAAATGAAAATACAAGCTTACGATGCAGCATTGAAAAGTGTAGAAAGTGTCTTGAGTTGTCAACCTCAAAATGTAAAAGCACTTTTTAGGAAAGGTGATACTATACATGCATATTACTTTATGTATAATAATAAATTTTGTATATTAAATATGCTATATTCTTTTAGGAAAAATTTTGCATTATAAAGGAGAACATGCCTTGGCATATCAAACATTGCTTCATGCAGCAAAATTGGAACCAGATACAAAAGCTATTCAGGTGGAATTAGCCATTTTAAAAGAAAAAAATGTTAAGGATGCTCAGCACGAAAAGAATTTATATCGTAAAATGTTAGGTACTCAGAAAAATAATATTTCCCCAAAAAATTCGAAAAAAGAAAATAAGAATAAGAATTCATCAAATCTTACATGGAGTTTGATTGGTGGCGCAACTGCAACGATTTTAGGTTTACTTTTATATAGATTTGTTTCGTGAGAAAAATTAAGAAAGCAAACATAATGAAAAACAATGTCTAAGCTAAATATTGTGAAATATACTAATATATAATTAAGTAGTATTGATTTAAGATGACCATGAAAAATATATGTATAAAAACAAGTAAGTTGTAAAAATTGGATAATTTTAATAACACACTAAAAGATCAAAAAAGTTGCATGAAAATTTCTGAGCATACAAAATTATAGTTGATTTTTTTGAATTAGATATTTACATATATATGGTGCTGAAAAATTTTATGAAAGAAATAAGAATGTACATGTTGTGAGTAATATATACTTTGCATAAATCATCATTGTAAAATTTCGTTGATATATATTTTAATATGAACTTTTCAAGTATGTTTAAAAATGCAACTCATAGGAAAAAATCTTCATAATTTTATTCATATTAATAATTTATTTACCTAAATATCTGTAATAAAGTAAGAGATACTGTAGAATTTTTTTTATTGTTATTATCTTATATTAACTTTTAGAATATGTATAATGATCTTATGTAGTGAAATAGAAATAATATAAAAAATGAATAACTGCAAAATATAGAAATGAATTTATAGTAAAAAAATATTTGAAATATTTTTGTTTTTATATAATAGTTATGAAAAAAATTATATGATTTGAAGAATGAACATACAGTATATATTTTATAGTTATTTTTGATGTCATTAATATTACTGTTTTTGTATACCTTTCATCATTTAAATATTTTGTATATTTTTATTATCCCAATTTGTTTATTATTTAGATTTTATACATATTAATTAATGAAAAATTCTGTTTACTAATGTAATAAATCAGGCATGGACAACCACTACTTAAATCAGTAAAAGGATTTTCATCATATATAAAGGCTTTGTAGTATGATAACTCATAAGCCTAAGAACTATAGATATAGAAACAGCAAGATAGCTCAAATAATAATTAAATGTATAATACTACTACTACTACTACTACTAATAATAATACTAATAATACTAATAATAATACTACTAATAATAAAAATATATATTAAATAATAATTATCAAAATAATAATTAAATGCATAAACAAATGTCATAATTTTGTTTCCAATCTTTAAAAGTTAAATATTATTGCATTAAGAAGCTTAGAGTATAATAAAATATTACTCATTAATTATTTAATTAATAAAATTAAATTAATTAAATGGATTAAACTTTATAAAAATTTAGGAAGTAAATATGCTGAAAAAAATATATTTTGAAAATACCTCTTTATACTGAAAAACTAATTCACTTATGTGATAAAACATTTTGATGATGATTACTTAAACTTAGAGCAATCTTAAATTAGTTAAACCTAATCCATATATTAATTTACAGTTTTTTCACAGTAATGAATAGATACAAATTGTCCACACCTGTAATAAATAAAGAACAAACACTAGTTACATTTACTGAAATGTATATTTTTAAGTAACTAAAAGAATTATGACATTTTTATGACATTTATATATTATATTATATATACTTATATTAACAATTATAAATAAAAATCTAAAAAAATTACTATACAATCATTCTACTTATTAAATGTATAATAAATTTTGATAAATTTTAAGTATTACAAAATATATCACATTTTTGTTGAACACTGATTTAAAATTTTGAATTATGCTTAAAATAATTTTAGACAGTTTCTTGTATTTTTTTACATATACTTATGAATTACGTTAATGCTATAAAATTTTGTATCCAAAATTTAAAGAAGAATAGAAATATATGCAAATTATTTGCACATAAATTTTATGAATATTTTATAATTGTAATTAAAGATTTAAAAATGAAGAAAATGGTTGATTTAAATAATTTTCTATTGGTGAAGTATCTATTTTGTTAATGTTTGAATCTACAAAAAATGATGTTCCTTCAACAGTTCCTAATGATGATAGTTCAGAATAATTTGTATGATCATACAAATTTTGATCTGTATTTAAAATTTCATGTTGAAATTCCAAATCTTGATAATTTGTTAAATTTAATATTTCATTGCAATTTGTTTCAAATTGATCTATAAGATCATTCATTATTAATGTTTTGGGACTTGTAACTTCTACAGCCACAATTTGTTCTGCATTAATATCTACTAATGAAAGAACCTGAGGAATAGAGTCTGTACTCGATAATAAATTTGTAAGTTCTAATGACAATGTTGAATTTTCGTATAGGTCATTAGAATTAGATAATATTTGTGCTTCCAAATTTGGCTCAAATTGTTTGTTTATAATATCCGGGTTTTGAAAAGCAGGAGTTGTGTCATCTGATGTCAAAATTGTATTACATCCTGTTTTGATTTTTAGTTTTTTAGATTTAAGACTTTTTGGTTTTTCTGGTATTGGAACAAGATGACCATCTTCTGTTTTCATGAGTTTTACAACCTGTTAAATGTTATATTATATTTTAATTATGCATTTTCATTAAATTACAAACAAATTAGGAAATAAAATAAAGATAGGCAGAATTAAATTCACCTTTTTTTTCTTTTCAAGTGTAATTCTGTGACAAGTTTCCATATGGCGAGTGAGATGATGGGATCGTTTGAAAGCAGTATTACATTGCATACAAGCAAATGGTCGATATTGTTGATGAGATAATTTATGTCTTTTTAATAAACTATTTCTTTTAAATGTTTTACCACATTCTTCACATATAAATTGTCTTTCCTTATTATGTATATAAAGAACATGATCATTAAGTATACTAACACTAGTAAAAGTTTTACCACATTGTTCACATATGATGTTTCTTTGTTCTACATGTAACTGCTTATGCCTATCTAAATCAGATTTTCTTGCACATTGAAATGTGCAACCATATATATTGCATATAAATTTTTTGTCTTCTTTATGTATACGTCTAATATGCTGATCAAGAACTCTTCGTGAAATTAATTTCTTAGAACAAATTGGGCATATGAAAATGTCCCTTAAAGATATTTCTCTATTTACTTTGTTAAGATGTGATGTAGAATCTAAATGACGTGAATAATCATCTTTTTTTAAAAAAGTGTGTCTGCAGTCAGCACAAAAATAAATACCTATAAAATAACCAATTTATATAAATTATAAATATATTTTTTACTATTATATTTTAAGAAACTCACCATTATTTGAAATTTTATCATGATTCAGTTTTGAAGAATGTACCATTTTATAATGTTCATGCACTTTTTTTTTAGAGGCAAAAGTGACATCACACTTTGTACACTTATGATTATCATGATTTTGGATATGAGTTACATATGTTTGTTCAATACTAAATGTTTGTAAGCATCTTTTACATTTAAATTGCTTTTTTGAACAATGATTTTCTTTGTGTTCCTTATCATCTTCTTCTGCTTTCAACATTTCTCCACAATCTGAACAAACTTTACCATTTTCATAGTTGTGCTTTGCACGATGACGGTTTAATAAAATTCGTTTAGGAAAACTACGAGAACATACATCACAAGAATGTGGATATTTTGTTACTCTTTCACCATGTGAACGGAATAAGTGTATATCAAGATGCTTACGTCTAGCAAATTTTGCATTGCAATGAGAACAATTATTTTTTTGATGGCCTTCCAAATGTCGATCTAAATGTCTTTTATATCTAAATGTCATTGAACACTGACTACATGTTTTAATTTGTTTATTTCGCATGATTAAATTGTTGATTTTAACTTTATTTTGATTAGTTGATGTTATGAATTTGGTTTCAGGATCATTATTTTCATCATTCAAATTTTCATTTTTAATTTCTAAATTATATAATTTATCTTTAATTTGAGTACAACTATTTGTTTCAAATATAAAAGTCTTTTTTATTCTAATAGGAATATTATTACCTTTTATATCCTCTGTACTAATTCCATTATTAACTGTTGTTACTGATTTAATATCATTAGAATAAGTAGTTTCTTCATTTAATTCAATTATAGATTCCATAGATTCATTTTTCATTCTTAAATGATTTTGCTCTGCATATTTAAATTTTAAGTCGCTTTGAGAATTTGATATTTTTCGTTGAGAAGTACTTTCAATTTTTATGAAATCAAATCCTATATTATTTTTACAGTCATTATTTTTGTTTTTTACTTGTAACTCAATATTTGTATTATATGTAGATGTTGAGGAATGATTTATTTCAGAATCTTTAGTTTCAATATTATTTACACATGCTTGCAAATAATCAAAGACATGGACTTCATTAATTTCTGTAGACAACTTTTGTACTACCTGTAATGTTGAATCACCTTAATAAAAAAATTTGTTAAATCCTTTATATCTACATTCAATATTAAGATATTTTTGTTCTTAACAAAATTATTTAATACTTTATTATATTCCTTTTTTTTAGAAATATACTATTTTGTTAAGAAATCTTACCTGGTTTTCAAATGAATGTTCTGACAATTTTTTCAATTGTTGATATTTAATATTTGACATTATTTAAACGATTCTAAATGTTAATAATAGGTCATGTGTATAATATTCTGTATAATAATTCTTTCGATGATAATGTAATGGAATTATAAAATATTTCTTATATCAAAATTGAAATTAATTAAATATTTCATAGCATTTATAAAATAACTGGACTTGAATATAACCTAAAAGAATTGTCATAAATGAAAAAAATTATTTCAATTTGAACGTATGAATTAACCTTATCTTTCGACTCTAATTAAGTTATCAAAAGATTATATGTAAATACATTGTTTTGTTTATAAAATTTTAATATACACTGTATTATATTTTTTAAATTTATAATCATGGTCCACCGAACAGAACGATTTTATTATACTATTATTTTAATTAATTCTTAAATACAAATCTATTAATTAAGACATTTTAATTCTATGAAGTATAATTAATTATATATTAGAAACAATATGTCTATTTATATTTAAGCATAATTTTGCGTGTTTTATATTTTTAATTCACATTAACAACTTATTAGCATTTATATCTTAATTATGTTTATAAATATAAATCGAAATAAAATTAGTACTATCAAATTTCCATGTTATTTACAATATAAGAATGTGACAGATATTTATGATATATAATATATGTAATAATATATAAATTTATTATATTATTTTTAATATAATTCAATTTTCCAGAAGCGAAGTAATAATTTTCTGGAGTTGGGAAGCTTAGTTAATCCATAATTTAATGTAAAAGTAATTTAGTTTTTTATGTTCGCTTACATATTTTTATTACTGAATATATTTAAATTTATCCATATAAAATAGAACACAAATATTATTCTATCATAATATACATACTTCCCGCTCAATTTATTTCATCCAATTAGTTCCAAGTTATTTTAACTTGTGGCGGCATCTTTTAACGAATAAAGAATGTCAGTATGAAAGACCATTATTACTAAGAATTTGGCAAATTTTTAGATTTATTTGAAATACATGCAAATTATTTTGAATAAGAAGTGTTTTAATATTATTTGCATTCAATAAATTTTGACTTGAATTTTTGTGAAACAGCAAAATTTTTTTGTAGTCTTTTGATACAAATTTAACCTCTGTAAATGTCAAATGTGATATTTTGAAAAATTATTTAGCATTAAATTATTAAGTGTAAACATTGTGAAAATTTTATAAGATTTTAGAACATGATAAATACTATTGTATAATAAATGAAAATGAGCGAGACATCTGAAATACAAAATAAGGATATTGGACCGGGAGTCATAACAGAGCAAGAACGTGAACTGGCACAAAATGCATTATCTGAATTTCAAAAAGGAGCATATGCTAATTGTTTGTCATATTTAAACAAATTAGAAACTCTTAGGCCCAAAGATTTAAAAGTAATGCATAATAAAGTTGTAGTAGAATGTTATAAAAATGATCTGAAAAAAACAGAATTATTAAGAAAAAGTTTAAATGCAATTTGTGGACAAATGTCTACAATTGATTCTACTGAAACTATAGATGACATTGAGAAATGTGTTATGAGGTATAATCAAGCAGTCTTATTATATCATACAAAACAGTATAATGATGCACTTCAAATTGTGAATAGATTATTTGCTTTTATAGAACCTATGGGTAAGTAATACATTAAAAAATTCTATGATAGTTTTCATTTATCATTTATTAGATAAATTAATAACATTAAATTTAACACATATATTTTGTTTCTTTTTAGAGGAATCACTAGCACATAAAGTATGCCTTCTTTTAATAGAATTACACATAGTAACAGAACAACCAGATGCAGCATTGTCTTTAATTAATTACATAGAAAGTCAACTTATATCCACAGACAATTCTAAAATTTCATCTGTAGATAAAGAAAGTATGATGAAATCTATAAAAGAACAAAAGGAACCAAAAAAAGAAGTCGATACAGCTACAGATGCATTCAAATTAAAACTATTGAAATGTAAAGCTAGAATATACCTTATGAAGCACCAATTGAAACTATGTAAAAGAGAATGGAAGACATTAGTTTCTTTGGGTACACCTGTAGTAAGATTTGATATATTTAAATCATATATTTTTATGTTATGTATTATATTTTGCATTTACCTTTTTTAAATTTCAGAATACATCAACTGTATTTTTAAAAGCTAATCTTGAATATTTAAGAGGGAATTATAAGAAAGCTATTAAATTATTGAACTCTGTAACATCAGAAAACTTAGATTTTAAGTATGTTAAATTTATAATTATATTACAATAGAAAATTTTATTAGTTACATCATAAAATATAATTTATAACTCTGTTATTTAGATCTTGTGGAGAGTCTTCTGCTGTGTTATATTACAATAACATGGCATGTTTACATCTTGCTATGGGTAAACCAAATTTAGCATGTTTTTATTTACGAAAAGCTTTACATGAAAATAAATGTGCTTTAAAAAGTGTACAAGTAAAAGATAATGGTAATTATAACTAATTTTTATTCTATTATTTGTTTGTGTCAGAATATTAAAAATAATTAAACAAAAATTAATTTATGTAGATCCTTTATCTTCACAACCATTGTGTACACTTGGTGGGAATAAGCATTATGAATTAATGTATAGTTTAGGTGTGTCACTACTACATGCAGGTCAAGTATTAGTAGCTTTTGATTGTTTCATGGAAGCTGCTCAGAAACTTCATAATAATCCTAAATTGTGGTTAAGGATTGCTGAATGCTGTATTTATTGTCATAAACCGGTAAATGTATTTATAATATATTAAATTGTATTTTATTATATGATAATTATAATTTCTATTTAAATTGTATTGTATTATAACATAGTATTTTAAAATCAAATAACTTTTTAAACTATTTTCAGACAAATGAAGTTGATTTTAATTCGAAACGAAGGAAAGACTTAGTACAAAAAGTTGTTGGTTCTGGAATTTATAGAAAAATTATTCTAGCTTCCTCCCTTTCCAAAGATATAAAATATCATTCTGAGGGTTTCCCTTCTGCTATACCACAATTAACATTAGAATTTGCATCTTTGTGTTTAAAAAATGCATTATTTTTATTGCCAAATAATAATGAACTTAATGTACCAATTGCGATTGCTGGTCCACAAACAGTACCTTTATCATTAACAGCTAGTCATAATTTAGGTATTAAAAATATTTTTTTAAGAATATAAACGTTTTTAAGTGTAATTATTATTCTTATATTTACATAAGAAATACTTTAGGTGCACAACATTCAAGTTTAATGTCTCAAACTACAGCTATTGAAGCATTAAATTTAAAAATTAGTGTTTTGGCTGCAAGCGCTTATGTATGTTTATGTCTTGGAGATTATGTTATTGCTCTTGAACATGCTAAAGTATTATTAAATATGAATAAATTGCCTGGAGCATATAGAATGTTGGGAAATCTTTATGCTGCAGAAAGTTTGATATTTATGGATAAAATTAGTGAAGCCATTGAATATCTTAAACCAGAAAATATTCAAGACTTAAATACTTCTATACTTATTCCTGAAACTCAGGATAAAGATAAAGACAAATCCGACGAGGTTATTTCAAAGCCTATAAAAAGTGAGAATTCATTTAAACTAGTTCTTCACTAAAATTATTTCTTACTATTTATAATTTTATAAACAGCTGCTTTATAAATGATTAATTTTCTAGTGTGGTATCCGACGACAGTCCCTACTGGAATTGCTGTACTTCGTTATAATTTAGCTGTAGCTTATGCAATTCGTGGTGAACTCGATAAATCCGGAGAAACCTTAAAACAAGTAATTAAAGAATTCACAGATCTTTTGTTCATTTAGTACGCACGAAACATTTACAATAGAACTAGTTTAATAATTGATTAATTTTTATGAATATTTTAGGTTTGGATGTCGAAAGGTCCAGATTGTGATGTTCCTATACATGTAATAATGTTAATTTTATATATAGAATTACAATTAGGTAATAACAATATTTTTAGCGATAAATTACATATAGAAAAAGATATTAACAACGATTTTGTCTTTATGCAATAGGTCATGTAGATATTTCAAGATCAATAATAAAACAACATTGTCCACAATACCGTTGACGGTAAATTTTATATTTATGTAAATTCTTTTTATAAATGTAAATAAATATATACTGTATAAAGGTATAAAAGTAAGGTACGAATTTTTCAAGTACATCGAGAACATTTTCATCGTCACAAATATAATTAACGTTTTGTATGGTATAAAAATATATGGCATAAAAAAATATATATAGTTTATGAACTAATCAATTTATAAATTTTTCCCAAAATTATTTTCAAATATTCTTAAAATCATTTTTATATCAGAGATAATAAATATAATAAAATGGTATTTAAATATCCAAATAAGGATAAACGTAGTTCTAGATATATTTATTTATAATAAGGAACAAATTTATCTACGAATTCCAGTTTCATCGCTATAAACATGAGAAGTGAATTACCGGTAATGATTTCACCAATTGTTACTGGAAGTAAATTTACTGGTTGGTATTGGGGGCCTCTGGCCTGTAATATGGTCATGGCCGTCTAGGCGAATCACCCCAGGGCCTTATACTGGACCTTACACTGCCTGACTCACATAGTTTCAGTGGTTCTCCACTGTTAGTTATCTTATGTGATTTATATATTTTCTCTACTTAATGAGTATGATAAATATGAAAATGATCATTTACCTCAAGTGAATGAAAATGAATTTTTTATATTTAACACCATACATTTTGGCAGGAAAAATGACAGTTTCATACAACAGATAATTATTTAAGATATTTATTATTTACAATATGATTCCTTATAGTTATGATATGTTTATATTAATATTTATATAACAATTTTAATCGAAGTAAATGTGTAATTATTTGTTAAAGTAAAATGATTGCAAGCGTATATATGTATATGATTACAATAAAAGATATATGACCTTAGTCAAAGATGCTTCATCACTCATGAGTAATCACGGTTCAACAATGAAAGAAAAATAAACAATTTAATTGCATTATATTGAAGAACAATAATCGTACTGGAGGTCTATCTGGAAATTTCAATGCTCCTTCGGCTAAAGAAAAACAACGGAAGGCCCCTGGTTGCAAGTGCGATATACGTATTACGCAACTTCCTTCCGTAAATCGGTTTAACATAACTTTGAAATAATACGTCTCCGATTTTAGTTATAATTTCAATTTGCTGCCCAAGATTATGCATTGTTACGGATATTGAAATTTATCTTATTTCTGTGAGCGGAAATAAAAACAAAATGAAACAGGTAATTGTACAATGTAAGATTAATTTCAGGCAAAACAGGTTATTCGTATTTGAAAATATGTGAACAGATTTCTCAAATAATGTTAGCATTATTAAAAGTAAAAGATTGGACTTCTAAATAAATTCGCGTAACTTTACATTCTTGTGAAACACCGTAAAACACACGAATTCATAAATATTTGATAGGAAAAATCGAGAGTCAACGAATAATTCGGTAGTTGTTTATTTTTCGCGTTACACAAGCAATGTACCATTTTAATCGGTATGCACAGTCTGGAAATCTGAACTGATCGCGGGTGTCCATGGAGTCGAAGCGGACTTGATAAATTTAAAATAAAATTGATCCAACCATTTGGCGCGCTGCCCTGACCCAGTTCGAGTTCTGCTCCCGTCTCCAGCGAACAGAACAAGACGACGAACACCAAGAATCGCCTCAGGGAATTGTCGCCCTCTGTGTCGGGAAATCGTTGCGAACATTGGAGAACTGTAAGAAACCCTGAACCTCAACATTTTTCTACATTTTTCTATCTCGATCGATGCTTTTTTAACCAAACACGGCGAACTAAAGGAAATAAGATTGACTTTTAAAATTTGGTAACGTAGATTGTTTAATGATTCTACAATAACGTTTTCAAGTATCGCCTAATTTGTACTTACTATTTTCATCGCTAAAGATTAGGAGACAGTTAATTAACAAATAATTTTGCGCATAACTTCGAGCTTGAAAGTATTGTACGAGGGTTTAAATAATAAATACCACCTATCTATACTGAAGTTTCTTTAAAAATTATATCAAACACTTTGAAGATTTATAAGAACGACGAAGATGCATGATATCCTATTATATTTTTACCTAGTTTGATCTTCATAAAATATATCATTCATAGATGGCATGCTTGTAAAGAAAAGTGACATGTAAAAGTAAAACGAAATATTAAGTAACCAATAAAAATGAAATGCTTCTAAGAAGATAAAAAATTCCAGGTATTACCTTGACATTTCCGATTCCTAAATTTGTTTAAATGCACCATTATTTTATTAATTTTGTTTCGACTTTTTTAAATTTGATTTTAATTATTGTGGTTACGTGTTTCAGAAAAAATTAGTAGTAGAATATTGGATTTTCGAAAAAGGTATGAAATCTAATAGAAAGTCGGATTAATATTTTATTTGGCTTCTCACTTCCACCTTTTCATCTTTCATTGGATTTTATTTATTTGATTATATTATCTATGTAATATATCCACCCAACAATACGTTTATTTTATAAAACAAGACTAGGTATAAAATTATATAAAACACTTATACTATAGTTATACTGTGTGAACAAATATCAACAATTTTCAGATAGTGAATGACACATTTTAATTAAATGCAAGATTGTGTCATTATTGCACTTTTTTTGAAAATATAAATTGTGAATTTACGATCAGAAATGGTCTTTGCCGAATTGTTTCAAAGTACTGAGTTAACAAGGACACAAGTAAGAGAGTAAAGATCGTTTGTATCTAAGATCCTTCCTAGAGACCTCACTAGACTGGCGATTATAAATGTTCGCGTCCTAGTTTCTCTTTAAACTAACTAAATAATTACAGATAATTAATCTGCAACGCGACGTTCGTTATCCATTGTAAAGGAAACCTTATCATGGTAAACGAAATATTTATTTATATATCATTCTTAAATTCTATTTCCTACATTTTTGCATAAACGTTACAGTTTCAAAAATTGATTGTTTTTTTATAATAATAAATCTTCAAATAAACCAGTATTGAGATAATTGTATGAAGGTAGGTCACATAACAATAAATACTGTAATACTTTATGGATATTATTATTCGTGTCATTCATTCACAATATTTGCCTTAGGCGATAGAACGTTTGCTGAATGCCTCAGGGCATCTATTTCCATTTGCGATTTATCGAAATAGTTTTACTTTCATCCGTTATATATTATCATATATTCTATTATTATATATTACATATTAATACGTTTATAAACATTACATTTATTAATTGCTATTAACAAGCAATTTTTAGATCTATAAAATAAACTTTTTCATCATTTATATAATATATTCATCTTAACATGTCGTATTTTAATAACGTTAAAAATTTTATATACGCGGTTGAATTTATATAACAGAAAAAATTATTGTAGATCTAATGATAAAGACATTATACTATTTTTATCGTAATATATATATTTTATCGTTAAAAATATTATTCCCGCAGAGTTTTGCATTCTATTTATGTTACTTGGTTTTTTAGAAGATTGTCTTTTGAAATATTCCCTCAGGGTTGAATACTTGAAACACGCATTGGATACTAAATACAGTCGTTCATAGTGTGAATTTGAATGAGATTGGGAATTCCTTTTTCTAATTGAATAATTACTAACTCTCGTGTAATTATTAATTATTAATATAATATCTCTGCATTTCATAATGATACAATGAAAAAACTGCATATAATTTTGAAAGAAAATATGAAAACTTACAGACACTGCCTTTAAATGACGTTACAATACAATGCAAAACACAGTTGTACGATATAGTTTTATTTAAAATTTTCTCGTAATTGTAAATAAGGTAGAAAAAGTATAATAATTATCATGTATGAAGAGGCCAACAATTATCTGAAAGAAAGAGTAGCTTGAACAATCTATATACTCTGAGAGGTTCGAACCAACAACTTACGCAATGCATGAAGCCATACCTAAGAGGGTTATACGCTATAGCTTTAAATAGTTTTACGTAAATCTTAATCCAATTTCCTTTTTCGCGATAGTATTGACATTCTTGATCTTTCCTCTGCTTCTAGAGAAAAACGCATATTAAATTATATTTATTTAAAAATGATGAAATAAAGAGATGCTGAAACAAAAATATGAGTAGTGTTTTATTATAATCTAATCTATAGTATAATTAACTTAATATTATTATAATTTTTCACAATACAACTATTTACGCATTATGTAATTAAATATTTAAATTCTTTTTTATTAAATAATAATATCATCATAAATAAAACCAGAAATTAAAAATAATATGATACCATAATAAATTTGATTCCGTTTGTGCGAGAAATTACTTCTAGGTGAGATTAAACTTTATGCGGCAGGTGGTACACGAAATAGACGGAGAGACGATAAGACGAAGATATAGAATGAACCCTTTCGATTCGACAACGATAACCTGCGTATATCTTTGTCCTTCCTCGCTACAGGTATGGCCATACATGGTACCAGCCGCACTTGACCTATATCTTATTATGCTGGCAGCGTCCGGATGCAATGCGAAGCGTTTGTGAATAAGCCCGCCGGGTCTCTTCGAGGTTACCGAGGTTCACCACCACCATAAAGGAGTCCTTCCTTCCTGTAGCAACCGTCTCGATATCCCGGCTTCCGCGACAGACGCAGACAAGGTCCAAGTAGTCGAGGAGTTCGCGTCGATCTTCTAGTTTTACGTTTTTTCCCAATGCAGTCGTCTGAATATAATAATTTTATACGAATATCGTTATTACTCATGGTGTCAATACTTGCACTTTTGTGGAAAATATTGCAGTAGATTATACTTTTTACGGTGAGTAATTAACATTAGTATTTCTAGTTTAGTGTATCCAATTGTTTGTAGCTTGGCACAGTAATTATAGTTCTCTTTTTTCTTATATTATTGAACTTAAACTTACATTCAAACGTAATGAACTTTGATGCTATTATTTCTTCTATTTTAACTTGTTTGAAATTTTTAATGATAAGTGTTTAGTTTAGAAATTCGCCCTTAATATCATATTTTTACAATCACGTGTTAAGAGAAAGGCTGTAGACAATATTAGACATAATTCTTATATGTTGTGTTATGTGTAAAGCACTACAGGCCTTGCATAAAATATAATTATTTTTTTATGTATACCTTGTTTTCCTTTTCATGTAAAACATTATAACCTTGGATGAAAAATTATATTCTACCTTTTCTCGAGCATCATAAAATTTTGTACAACATTCACTGTATCATGGAATTAAGTAAAAAGTGAACATCCCCCTGAAAGAACAGAAAAACTATTGTTAATTAGTTAGTAATAATTATTTCCAAATTTCTTATTAAAATTAAGATAAAATATCTATTTTATATGTCATCGATTAGAATAAAAGATCAACTAAACATCTCGCTTACCAACCCTTATCTACATCCTTACTGTTTCAAGGTTCCGGTAAATTCTATCTTCCCGGTATTTTACTCTTGACCGGTATTTAGGAAGGTTACGACCTCAGGGTAGGTTTGTCGCGAGAGAAGTATTCACGCATGCGCGACCCGCGGGCGAAAGTATTTAAAGAGGTGGACGCGCCTTCGGGAAGGCCATTCTTCCCCGAACTGTCACGAACCGCGCAAGTACCCCACTTTCCTCCCCTTCCGAGGCAAATGAGCACGCGTTCTCAACGAGAGTGGGAAAATCGGCTCTTTTGGTCTGTTCTTTTTCCCCTTTTGTCCACGACAGTGGACAATTGCCCTTTCAATCACGACAGTTACCCCTTCCTCCATTTAGAAGCGCTTGTCCTCCACGTTTTCCCTCTCCAAGAATCGTCAGTGTGCCATCGGTTCGTTTAATAGACCTGTTGGTCGGTCTCTCCAGATTCAATTAGGCAACAGCAAACCTGGTAGAAAGGAAGAGATATCCATCATCGGTTAGACGAATTTTGTTTGGCAGAAAAGATAAGCGACAAGTAGTAGAAAGATAGATGATAGTTTTTTCAAAATCAAATTAATCGTGAATATCTTACGCTTCGGTTTAAGTTAGTCACATTCATCTCAATCAACTTCAAGTGTCACCAATCGCAAGAGACAAATATTTTCAACCACATATGAAATACGTGATGTTCGTTTGACTGTTCAAAAGATTGGCCCTCGAAATACAGAGAGACTGAATGTATCTTCTGAAGAACAGGTGGTAATTCAGTTTCTCTAATGGACTAAGTAGAAAAATATATCTACATATTTAATAAACGACTGGACTCTTGGGCATCCAGGGATTCGTCGATTTTTTCAAGCATCGAAACGTGTAAACATGGAAGAGGTGGATGTTCAGCAAGAATCGAGAGACCAAGTGGGCAATTTGATATTTTCTCCACCACCGATGAAGAAGTCTGACACGAGAGACAGTATTTCTTCTGTGGACAGTGATGTGAGCCTTTCTTTTGATCGAAGAGGTTCCAAAGGAGAAGAAGCTGATTTGTCAGACAGTGGAAGTTCAGATAATGAAAAAAAAGTGAATGATCGAACGGAGCAGCAAAAGAATTGTGATCCAGATTCAGGTGCAGATTCATTGGAAGAAAACGTTGTTAAGGATTCAAAGAACCAGAAGGAGGAAACATTAACTGAAGTAAGTACTGCTAATCAAACGGACGACTTTGTTCCACCAAGCGATGAATTGGCTGAGAAGATATGTGCCCAAGTGGAGTTCTACTTCTCCGATGAGAATATCGTCAAGGATGCTTTCTTGCTGAAACATGTAAAAAGAAACAAAGAAGGATACGTGTCTCTGAAGCTTATTTCAAGTTTTAAAAGAGTAAAACATTTAAGCAGAGATTGGAGAGTTGTCGGAGCTGCTTTAGCGAAATCGAAGAAACTTCAAGTGAATTCACAAGGTACCAAGCTACGAAGAGTCGATCCTTTACCGCCTTTTGATCAAACTACTCCATCAAGGACAATTTTAGCCGCAAGACTTCCGGTAGAGAAGTTGTCGGTTGAATCTGTAGCTGAAATTTTCAGGCCGTGTGGAGAGATTGCTCTCATTAGAGTACTTCGACCTGGACATCCTGCACCAGCTGAGGTAAAATCTTTTCATTTCTTGCGCGTTTACTATATCTTGGTATATTAGTTTCAGAATATTTAAAAAGTAAAAAATATAATCGAGACTAAAATTTACGCATTTACATAAAATTTATCTTTGAAAACATAAGCGCTAATACTTGTGATTAATAGCAGTAATTGGGTAACCTGTTAATTATTAGGTGCGACAAGCAATCGCTAAAAGGCCAGAGTTGGCATCGAGCGAGGAATGCGCCATGGTCGAGTTCACGGATTCAGCATCCGCTCGAACTGCCTTACAAATGACCTTGGGTGATGCCAAGGTATTTGAGCTGCAACAATCCAGTGACAAGAAGAGGAAACAACAACCAGCAAAGAAAAGTGCCTTGACAAGATTAACCAAAGAGGAAGCTTACAATTCCTCGAGTTGCGCCAGCGGATCTGAGGCAGAAGATGGAAGAGTCAGACATAAGAAACCCATTCATGGTTATCCAATGTATCATGCTTATCCGGGCCATCCGTTTCAAGGTACAGTACAAAGAAATACTTCGTATTACCCTTATAATTAATACGGTTTGATCATTTTTAAGCACAGCCGTATTCTCTCGGAATAGTGTTACTTCTTCAAACTGAATTGGCTAATGTAACGTGTCGAGGAGGTTAATTTCTTTCGTTTTACATTATAATATATAAAGAGAAAGAGGCAAATTTATAAACACATACCTGCTGTTTTTGAAACATTTAATTCGATCATAAGAAAGAAAACCATTTGTATGACAGTTTAAGGTAGAGAAAGTGATTTTGAACAGCTAATCCATTTTAAGCATAAAATAGCAATTCATCAAATTTCTGCTTTCGCTATTCGCAATGCTTGCGAAATCGTTAAATATAATTCTAAAAAAATGCAAGTTACGTTATTTCCAAATCTCAAATTTCTTACTTATTAAAAATATGTGCGATTTAACATGCCAAACTCCATCGATAATGATTTAACTACTTCGAAATATGCAAATAATTAAATCTTTTTTATGTATTTTAATACCATTCTTACAGGACCCCCATCACCAGACGCATGGTTGTCTCGCCGACTATCCGCTTGTTCGGTCTCAGGATCTGAAAATGGTTTCATTCTCCGTCGTTTGTCTTCCTGTTCCGGTTCGGGCTCCGGTTCAGAGACCGGAAGCTTTGGCAGACGCTACTCCGCTTGTTCTTCCGGTTCTGAAACCGGTTACTGTCATCCGGTTTTCCCGCCGAGTTACTATTATCAAGAAAATCGACGTTTCTCTTGCTGTTCGAGTTCCGGTTCCGAGTGTAGTGGTGTTTGTTATCATTCTAGTCGCCGCGGTTCCGCGGATTACGGGCCAATTTTGAGGAGATTATCTGCTTGCAGTCGGGATTCTGCTTATGACGCAGGTTCTAGAAGGCTGTCTCTATGTTCTTCTGGTTCTGAACAGAGTGGCTACTGTCGACCTAGGAGCAACAGTGGCATCGCGTTAACACATCTACCAGAAAACGTGACAAGAATGCCATCAGGACCAGATGGAACACGTGGATTTGGCCGACCACCTAAAATGAATGTCATGCCACCACCCATGGAACCCACCTGTTAAATGTCAATTATTCTTGAAAGTTTTTATCGTAGAGAGATCGTTTGATCTACTCACTATTTCTTGTTCTATTTGTCGAATTATCTATTCTGTTGTTCCGAATAGATTAGAAAACAGAAACAAAAAGAGAAAAAAAAATATTCTTAAAGACTTTTATACGAAAGATCTCTGAAATACAATCAGTACTTGAAGTTAAGTAAGGTAAATAATGATGTACAAATACGTCGATGTACAAGTGTACCTACTGTTTTAGTGTATCTTATTAGTTGTTGCACATATACTACTGAATGACATTATTTGAATTTATAGATGAAATATATTTCGCATATATGTATCATTTTCCATGTAATAGACTTCTAACAAAAATGATTGTATGATGCGAGTTATGTTTTATATATCAACGATTTAATATTTTCTTTGGCACTTATATTTTTATTTAATGTTATGGAATGATTTTAAACGTTTAGCTTCTTGGCTGCCCATAACCGCCGAAAATGTACGTAATAATGTTTATGTGGTCTTATTTATTCATCCTAATCACACATTATTTAATGATAAAATATTTGTGCCTAAAAAAAGTATAAATATTAATATTCCAATAGTAATTTAATTGTGATAAGCATCGATTTATAAGCATATGTAAAAGCTGTACGACACTGTACCATAAAAATGTTCGATGATGAGGTTTTGTGATATTATCAAATAATGTACAGACTTCGAAATCGTGAGTAAGTAGAATATGTCTACATTTAACAAATATATATTGATATACAGTTCGTAATACTCAACCAGAAATACATTTAAATGCTCGAGAATACTGTAAAAATATATGTACATGTTATATTTTATGTAAACATCCTAAAAAAATATATAGGTGCAATAATTTTCCAATTGTACCAGTTTTATATTAGATTTGGTCATCCTGTATACTATCCAAATCGTATCTAGAAATAAATTAGCGATTATTTTACCTGTTACTAACTTTAAAAAATATTGTAATTATTATTGACGTAATAATATTGACAATTATTATTGATTATTAGTGACGTTAAAAAATATGGAAAAAATAGAAAACAGAAAAAAGCTTTGATAGTTATTGTACAAAATTACAAATTAATTTCAAAATAATTAATATTTTTTTATAATAAAATGGTGTTTCTTACATACAGTTATTTATGTGACTGTTGTTTACATACTTATTTATATTCACGTATATATGGTTATTAAATATTTTTGATTTATATCACTTATAGAAAATTAGATAACTTCACTTTTTATTTGAATCGTTATATTGTCAAAACAATTTCTGTAAATAACATTTTTAAAAGATGTATAGTATGTCTTTACATACAGAATAATTCATGTAATTTACACATGTATATATATTATTTCAAATTATATCCTAGTAATTATATATAATGTGATGATGAATTGATAAATATTTGACTGTTATATAAAATATCAATTCAATAAAATAATTTTGTTAACATTGATCAGATGTTAATATGTTTATACGGAAGAACTAAAGTATGAAACATTATATATTAGAAGCGTATACACATAGCATCAATAGCTAATAAAACTGTATATATTCGAATGTGTACTATGTACTTTTTTCGTATATATATATTTATGTTAATTTTGTATACAAATCACTTGAGAACGCGTATATATCCCAACATATACTTAAAATAAAGATTACACATGACATTGTAAATGATTATGAATTAAATAAGTAGTGCAAACATTACAAGTTACCGTACGTTGGCCTACGTGGATCTCGAAAAACTTCACTCTGTTCGTTGTATGAGGAACCTAGTATTTATGCATCGAATAAGATGGTGAGGTTAGGACATGTTTACTTGTCAGATTCTTTGATACAAAGAATGAAACCCAAAGACAGCTTAAATATAACAGGAATGTGAACGTAAAAAGTGAATAATTCTAAGGCGAAATCATGTTTTTCCCTATTGGTTGGCCGCGGGTTTTAAATACGACAGAACCAGAAAAGATAACAGCAGTTGTTTGCAATAGGGATAAAATACTTTTTGCAGTGTTAACCGCGGATGCTCTTACCATCTGGTATTGTAAGGTACTTTTATTTACAAATTGTATTTATATTAAATAAATATTTTTATTTGTTACTTTCATTTTATTTATATTATAACATTTCAATGCAGTTGCTGTTTAAAAATTAATATTTATTATAATTTCATAATATAATTTTTTATTAGCGTTTCATTATATGAATAATGTCATAAAGGAACTTATATTCTTTTAATGTTACTGTATCATTCACTCTAAAACATTCATTTCTTTATAGCCTTGTGTACCCATTGTATTTATCAGACGAACTCCAGATTCTTTAAGGAAACATGGTAACAATATTCTGGTTCAATGGAGGCCAGATTCCAGTATGGTGGTTATTGCAGTACGAAAAGTTATATTATATATTAAATTATAACACAAGGAAAAATGTTATATTGTTAATTTATTTTTAGACTTCGGACAGTTATTTATTATTTTATCGTGTGCAAGATACTAGTCCAGAAGGAAGAGGCCTCTATGTACAAAGGGATTCTCCTGTAACCAGCTTAAAAAGAGATAGTGCTGAACTTTTCATCAAAGAAGTTATTCCTTCTTTAGTTCTGACATTTGTAAGTGAATATATAGATACATTTTTCTTTGTGTGGATTATATAATTTATTAGAAAAACTGTTTTCCTATTTAGGAGAAATCAGCATGGATAGATGGTGGAATTAGTTCTTTAGTTTGCATACGTGATGAGCTTATGGTTGCTACAAAAACCAGTCATGTAGTACGTCATAAATGGGATGGTACAGTAAATCGAGATTATTCTCTTGATTTAAGGAGAATACCATTTAGCGTAGATCAACAAATATCTACTGTAGCTGTGCCACTTACTGAGAACAATGTGTATGTTACCGATATTGAATATTCTCCTTTAGTTGGTGGATTTGCAATTGTACTCAATACTGGCAAAGCAGCATTTCTCACAGCACAGTCATTAAAATTTGATCCTAATGTATGTAAATTATTATTTGAAAATATAAATAAATAAGTTTCAGTAGTATTATTTTTTAGCAAGTACAAGGAATATGGGCTAGGGATGTTGATGATGCTACTTGTGCAGCTGTAAATCATAAATATCGTCTTATAGCAATTGGGAGACAAAAGTATGTTTTTCCACAGTTTTAGTTTTTAATAAATTCATCTAATTAATGATATATATTTTATTACTAGTTCTGAAGGTATAGTGTACTATGTTGATGAAACAACAGGAAGTTTAGAAATGTCACATACATTAAATTTATCCTCAAAAGATTATCCAGGAAGACCAGGTCGTGTTAGATGTTTAAGATGGACTCCTGATAGCTGTGCCATTGCATTGGCTTGGGAAGGTGGTGGCCTAGCAATATGGAGTACATTTGGTGCTCTTTTACTTTGTAGTTTAAAGTGGGATTATGGTCTAAGAGTAGATTTGACACATGATAATCCTTTACATATTCATACAATGGTTTGTAAATAATTCATCAATATTATATATAAATAATGGTTAAACATTTTATTGTATTTTATTTCTTACATATATTAGGAATGGTCTGCTGAAGGTTATCAGCTTTGGATGCTGAGAGAATCTCCAAGTCCTTTTTTGACTGAAGAAAATGGAAATGAAGAAGATAATTTTAAGTGTTCTTTGATACAATTAGATTTTGTAAAAAGTCCTCTTACTATTAATCCTTGCATGGTAAATATTACAAATAAATATTTATATAATTTTCATTTTTTATTGAGATCATTTGTAAACAATCATTTCTATGTAGGGTCATCATGGACATTTGTATTTACAAGGTGAAGATAGATTATATTTAAATTTGGGTGGTGGAGTTTCTACAAATACTTCAACTTTTCACATTGGTAATGAAATTCCTAATGATTCCGTAACACAGACGCTTGCAGGCTGTAAGCAATGGCTAGTTGTTCCTATTCCTACTGCATACAGTGGTGCCAATTGGCCAATAAGGGTATGTCATATGTTTTGTATAGATCATTGAAATTTTCGTACTATGGCACATTATATATAAAATATATATTTATTTTAGTATACTGCTATTGATAATGAAGGTATGAGTATAGCTGTAGCAGGACGTACAGGATTAGCTCACTATTCTCTACCTTCACGTAAATGGAAACTTTTTGGTAATGAAACTCAAGAGCGAGATTTTATTGTAACTGGAGGATTATTATGGCATCGTGGTTTTTTAATAGCTAGTAGTTATTCAATATTAGATGATAAAGATGAAGTTAGAATATATCCACGTGATACACGTTTGGATAATAATTATGTTAAAACTGTTAGAATGCCATCACAGGTATTATTGCTCAATACATTAAAAGACAGACTCTTAACATTTTGTGCTAATGCACAAATTAGTATTTATGATATGGTAATAGAAAGCAATAATGGTAAGTAAAAAGGAACTTTATCTCGGCGGGGCAGAAATTACGAAATTATATCCTCAAATGTTATTATTTTAGATGCAGGGAGTATAGAATTAACGAGATTACAAACTGTAGATATCAGTGGACTTTGTGTTCATCCTGCTTGCGTTGTAAGCGCTACTTTAACCACTATTCGTGCAGAAACAGCTGGGAGTCATCCACATCCTGAAAGTCTTTTATTGAACGTATCTGGACGTCTCCTTATGGTTCAACGAGAACATTGTACTGATAACTCAGAAGTTGTATGTGAATAATATTTTTATAATTAATATATATAATTTGCTTCTAATTTTGTTATACTTTACAGCTCTTTACGTGTACTGCTCCAACAGTATTAGCTTCTTATGTAGAAAATGTTTGGGTACCGTGGAGATCAAGAAGAGATAAGCCTCATTTAACAGAAGCTCTATGGTTATTTTGCGGTGCTCACGGCATGCGCGTTTGGCTTCCTTTGTTCCCAAGAAACCATCAAGAAAAGACACATACTTTTATGAGCAAGAGGATAATGTTACCTTTTCATTTACGTATTTATCCTTTGGCTATATTATTCGAAGATGCTATTTTATTGGGAGCAGAAAATGATACAGTACTTTTTAGTTCAGATACTAATTCTCCATTTTCATTGCCATTCAGTTTATTAGAACTTACAGTAAGTGTAAAATCGTTAAAATATTTTCCATTAGTTAATTAAAAATTTTCATTTATTACCTTAATTGCAGAGTCAAGTTTATCTTCATCAAATATTACGACAACTTATTCACCGTAATTTGGGATATCATGCCTGGGAAATTGCTCGTTCGTGCTCTGCACTGCCATATTTTCCACATTCGTTAGAACTTTTACTTCATGAGGTACTAGAAGAAGAAGCAACTAGTAAAGAACCAATTCCAGATGCTCAACTACCTTCTGTGGTGGAATTCATCCGTGAATTTCCAGGAGTATGGGCTAGAGCAGTTGTACAATGCGCTAGAAAGACTGAAATAGCACTATGGCCTTATCTATTTTCTGTCGCTGGGCCACCGAAAAAACTGTTACAAGATTGTTTGCAACGTCAACAACTCGATACTGCTGCTAGTTATTTAATAATTTTACAAAACCTTGAACCCTCAGCCGTTAGTCGGCAACATGCTACTTTGTTATTGGACGCTGCTTTAGAACAAGGAAGATGGGAACTTTCAAAAGATCTTGTTCGCTTTCTTAGAGCGATTGGTAACAAAATATATATTACATGTCTGTTTATTTATTGTTACTTTCATTATTTTTATATGTGTTATTTTACATAAGATCCAAATGATGTGGAATCACCAAGAACATCTTGGGGTGGGACATCAAAATTAGGTGGACCTCCTCAAACTCCACCACTCTCGCCTCATGAAGATGACTTATCTTTAGTATTAGGAACTATGCAAGTTTCGAGAAGCCGAAGTTACAGTACTACAGTTACACCTAAAGTACAATCTGATTCAGTAGCCAAAGATATAGCTCCATCTTCGATGTTAGAAAAAACTAGAAACGTAGTTATGAGACGAAAAAAATCTGTACCTACAACTACATCTAAAATAGAAAAGGCTGACAGCAAGTATGTTCGTGTTATTTTTTATGAAATCTTAGAATAAACATTGATTAAAGTTCTTGAAATATATCATAAATGCTACAATGAAGTATTTATTACTTTTTAGGGAAGGTTCGGCCGAGGAATTTTTCATTGACGTTATATTACAACGTCATGCTCGTCGACTACTGTCGGCAAAACGGCTCGCGGATTTAGGCAGATTTGCTGCTCGACTAGATTTTCACTTAGTTACATGGTTTGCCAGAGAACGCGATAGAGCAGCAAAAATAGATGATTATGTTACAGCACTAAAAGCAATACATGAAGATTTTTCATTTGCTTATCCAATATTGTCTCTTCCAACTTTACAAAAGTTTCGAAGATCTAGCCTTACCTCTTTACGGTCCATAAGATCAGTCAATCTAGAAAGTCTAGAAGATGAACCATTAAATTCTAATTTCATTGTTGATTTACCCGATAGTGGTTATACTAGTTTACCAAGCGGAAGACCACCTTATACCACATTAGTGTCTCCAGTTGCAAGTTTGGAAACACAATTTCCTGCTACTGAAACTAAGTTGACTGCAAATATGTTACATGGTATCTATATCATCTTATTCCATAGGTCAAATCACCATATTATTTTGGGTTGAAGAAGTATAAGTTTTATTACTGTATTTTTAGATGCTAACAGCGTTCTTAGTGATAGTAGTACTATTTGGAGAGATGATACTGAATCAATTGTTGGAACTGGAGTTGGAACAGTGTGTTGGGTTTCATCAGATCCGGTGGAACAAACGGAAATTCATAACGCTTCGCCTTGTGCACCGATAAGTCGAGCAGAAGTGCAACTTAGATATCTTTTACAATTATTTTTGGAAGGTGGTTGTTTAGGTTGGGCAGCAGTATTGGCAACTGTTTTGCGTGATACACCTGCTATGGCTAGAACTATTCGAGCAGCACATGCTCCCATGCAAACCTTCGATTCTGTAATTAATTTAAGAGACGGACTTCTTACATTAACTAAATGGTCTCATTCTGAGTGGTATGTATTATATAAAGAATCTGTTTAACAAAATTATTGTTTGAAAATGATTAAAAAAAATTAAATCTGTATTTCAGTTTGGGATATAGACCTTTTATATCAGGTATTCAAGGTCAAATTTCTCTGTTAAACCGATTAATTGTAACAAAACAACAACAAGAACAAGAACAGATACCGGAGAGTCCTTCTCCTAGTCCAGCTCCATCTGCGAGCATTCAACGAGGAACTTTATCTCGGTCTCGGCCTTCCTCTATTACCCATACTTCAGCAACTTCTCCT